CACCACGGGTAATCTTTCCTCTACAATTTCGTTGGTGACTAAATTATGCAACGTACAAAACGAATAACGATTCTGAGTGGAGTAGTATTAGTCGTGATTTTCCCTAACAACAGATTTTCCGTTTTCTCAACTATTAAGAAATTTACAAGGAAAATAAAAAAATGAGCGTTCCAATGTATCAACTAAATATATATATATCAAAAAGGCCACAAGAAAGTTCCTATAGGATTTTTTATTGACACAGGATTTCTGGTAGAGTAACTGTTAACAGACAGACAAAAAAAAAAAAAAAACTACACAGTAAAACCGATACATTTCTCGCTGCGCTCAAAATCTAAAATAATCCACAGCATAATTATTGCTGTACAGCAGCGTTCAAGAAATACTGACGTCCGCTATAGAAAAAAAAAAAAAAAACACTCATCATATATATTATATAGTAAAACCAATCCTCGTTACACCCAGAATGTAGAAAAAAAAAAAAAAACGAAATATGCAAATTTTCGGATTTACCGGTTTTCGCGAAACGTATTATACGCGCCTGACTTATTGGATTCATACACGGTGTTATTAAATAAATAATAATACACGCCAAGCGCGGAGCGAACAGCATCAGAAAGAGATCGCGATTGTAAGATTCACAACTGCTTTTTTATTTTTTTTTATTTAGCCACCGATATTGTATTATTATTATATAGATACGTCACAAAAATATTGTAACTATACAGGTATGTTATACAATACAGGAATGTCCCGTACGGGAATCGAACCGATCGTCACACATGCGATGTGAGTCAGCAATCGGGTATTACAGTTACTTTTTGTTGGCGATTCATTGGCTACGGCGCTCTCGGTTTTCATACAATTCCATACAAGATATTGTATTATTATACATCGTATATAATGTATGTCCCCTGAACCGATGACTTTTTTGTTGTAAACACAGTCAATTTTCAGTCCCGGTATCTGCTGCATTTTGGCCCTTGGAAACCTAACCAAGTATGTTATTGTATATTATATTATAAGAGGATTAGTGGCGGTATTATATTTTAGTCGATTTAGACCTATAGCATACTATAGCATATGTTAAAAACAGAAATTTAATTCGTTTTATGGACTTTGTAAAAAAATTAAATATATTTTTGAAAAATTGATTGGTTTTTATTTTTAACTACTTCAAGAATCGGTGAAATTAAAAAAATAATTCTAATGTATCTCAGTTAGGAACCTATAATGATTAATAATACGTTTCCATAATTCATGATTCATAAAATCCATCAAATTCCTATATTTTGTCCGAATTTTAGCTCTAAAATGTCATACTGGTCCGTAAAAACGGTCAAACTTATTCTCTTCAAATGGATATCGGGTAATAGATAATCGGACAAATCTTATCATTAAGGTTGTCATTGAAATGTAAACACTTTTTCAAGTACCTAAGAAAATACCTAATTTTTTGAAAATGTATCGCCATTGCAAACACGCAGCAACCTATTACTATTATTAATAATAATATTATCATATATTAATATGATCCATGAACTGACGTCGTGTGTCGTTTTGTATTCACAGATATATTAAAATGTGCTGATATCATCAAAAAATCAGCTGGCCCTTGGATTACAATCCAAATGAGAGAAAAAATGAATTCGGCCTAACTCTGAACATTTCCGCGTAGGTGTCGGCCAGAATGTTACCAAAATCTTAACGGTTAATAAGAATAGATATGACGAAAGGCACACAGCGTCTCTAATAGGATATACTTAGCCATATCATTTTTATAATATTATAAATTATATTTATGTCATTACGTACAGTGTGTACACCGTATAGTGTAACGGTACAGCTAGATAAGTTATGTGTAAATTAATTGGTAAAAAAAAATCCTAATTGTTATTGATAACGCGATTATTATTTTTTTTAATAAAGATTATTTACGTTTGCAAAAAAAATTATTCATGTTTTGCATCCGAACCAATGATAACACAGACGTCAAAATAATTGAATATTAATTGATTTCAGACGTATTTCGCGATATATACAATATTAAATGGCAATTAAAATAACAATATACATTTGTACTAGACAAAAATAGTTATAGTACAATAATCGTATGCTTATGATTAACTGATTTTCGCATTAGCCGTTTTTGATTGTTTAATGAAATTAAACGCTTCTTAATTCACTGCAGCGAGTTGTACCTATAGAGTGCTAAACTGCAGGTGGTTGTAGTCAGCAGAATATTGTTTAACAGAGCGTTAAATAGATTAATACTATTATTGATAAATAATATTAATCGTGTTTATAATTATCTCATCTTGATCGGTAAATGATTTAAAGACGGTTTCTTTTATAGATTTTAAAAAACAAAAAACGAAAATCATTAAAAACATTATAATAGTACCTACTTGTATCAATTGTATTCGATTTGTTTTTTTAAAAATGATTTTGTATAACGAAATAATATACCATTTTGTAATTGTTTCTGGATAATAATTGGTAATAATACACTAAAATATATCGCATACGGATATATTTACTTGATGTAATAATTTGTATTACCTATATTTTTATGTAGTTAACAATGATGTCTTAAATAAGTCTTAAAAAGACTTAAACATATTTGTATTGTGAATATTATATTGAAAAGACATCCTATACAAATAAACCGATACGCTCACTACATACGAATTAAGTTTCAAATAAATATTTTAGAACATAATGAATACAGCATATTGTATAAGGATTTTTTTTAGATACGTCACACTAATTAAATTTCGGTTGATTTAAATAAATTAGTAATTGTTTATTATTAAAATTTATCAATTTGCTGTACAAATACAATATGTGATCTTAAATAACCGTTTGTATTCGGACTAAATAAAAGTACTTTACTAAAAGTAAAATCTAGACTAAATAATTTGTAATCGTATAATGCAATAAATCCCGCAGATAAGATTTCTGAGATTGTCTTTGGTTTGAACACGGTTATGTTGGGTGGGCGAAGGCAATCCATGGATACGGGCAATCCGGTTAGAAACGTACGATGGATATTATAATCTTTTACTTAGTATCCAGGAAATGACAATATTGATAAATCTGACCAAAAGTATACACGAAAACATGATTAAATGCAATATTTAATAATTTTAATTCCCCCCAAACAGCATTTCTTACAATTTGCCAAAAAGGCAGCTGCGCATAATATTTTAGTCTGGGAATGATTATTAGTTTGAGTGAAGTTACTCTGGATTTTAAAGTAAATAGTTCGTAAAGTATCTGAATACTACCAATATAAAGTGTAGAGAATTTAAATTTTTTGATATTTTAAACGTATTTTTGGGGGATTTATGGAATTGTAGATTTATGATTTTTGAAAATATATAGTACTAAAAATAACTATTTTAAACGTTAGCAAAATAATGCTACACTTTTACTTAATATAATTATTAAAATAATATCAAAAACGTCAAACGTTTTTCATATTTTGCTTTTCGCTTTGATATAATCTACTGAATTTTACTTTTCTTTTATCCTATCCACGATTTGACGGTCATACACAACTATGACAAAATATTATGGTAATTGTTGCAGTTATTATTTTTAATATGGTATAATTGTTATGTGTTCACGTAAGACAACCGAAAATTCGTTTAGAAACTAATTCAAGAACACCAATTAAAACAAATTTTAGACGACATTTCAAAGACAGCACCTATCTTTGGCGTTTTTACAACTCACTAAATATTCAACTCGTTCAAAAAATCATACAATTTTACATTAATTTTAGTTAAATATTTTTGAACCATTAATAATACTTCAAAAAAAAAAAACACCGACGAGTTTTCCACGGAAACACACTTTTGCTGTACATTGCCCGGCAGAAAGTCTTCAGAGACGAAAAAAATTCAAGTGTGACGACCTCTTATTTTAATAATGAGCGCGTAGATTTCTGAAGTAGGAAATTCGTAAACATTAGTGCAAAACCGAAAACTATACCGGGTGTGTTGTAGGATAAACGTGATATTTAAATAATGAGTGCCGAGCTTGTTAAAATAGTCATTCACTGTTCTATATACCTACAATAATAAAAATTCGTTTACGATAGTATTACATTATATCTATGTAGGACGTATACAGAGTAATTCACTTATCACGAACCAGCGATTTTATCGGAATGTACTTTATCTATGGTTTTTCAATCATTATGGAATTGTCTAAGGTATTTTAGATTCTGAGTCGAACAAGTAATGTATTGGTTTTACAATGATGTTTACTTTTTTTTATGTGAAGACTTTCTACCAGAAAATATACTCCGATTATCAAGTATAGCACTTTTTCTGAAAGGAAATTTTCTCTGGGTGGTACTTTAAAGGGGTCATTTTTTGAAATTCTTATTAATATTCGAGATAATATGAAAAACCTCGGTCTTTAGGTTAAAAAGGATTGAAAGATTAAAAATAAAGCAACCGTTTTTATTTATTTTTGTTATTATTAAGTTTTTATTACTTTAAACTTTTTTAAACATTCATTGTTGTCATGGAAACGCACATTGTTTTAATCATTTTACTATAATATGAAATAATATATGGATATTGTATTGTTGACAAAGCAACATTATTAATCGGCTCAGAATTGTTATTTCGTTAGCAATGTTTTATCGTTGCTTACAGATATGCATTCAATTTCCGTATGTAGCCTAACTTCCCAACTTCCCACCTACAACAGTGGCTGCACCCACGTGCGAAGTATGTTCGTCCTTTTTAAGTTTTATTTTAACACTATTTTCAATGTTTCGCCCCTATTCCTCTATACCTGCAGAGATAACATAGGAAAATCGAAAGTATACCTATACTCATTTAAGGTTTTTAAGCAAGAGGAATGGCGAACTAAAAGCGGTTTTAAAATAAAGTTTACGCAATCACATAATGATAGAAAAATACCTAAACCAGAAATCGAATTCACTTAAAATTCTCGACCGAGAAAATTGTTCGCGATAAATGGATCGCCCTGTAGACAGTGGTGAATTCAACGATCGTCGAGCAAACCGACGCGTCGTCATTATATCTTACGTTTTCACTGTCAAAAATGATGGTTACAGGTTCATGGTGAATATTTTCGGTCACCGGAAATTAAGTGTACCTGCCTAAATAGGTATATAATATTAGAAGTGCGGTTTCCTCGGCGCCGCACGTAAACAACCAAGCGAATATAATTTCTAAACAAATATGTAAACGCGACTAGTACAATATTATTGTTATTAACACCGATACGATGTACTATATATATATATATATTATAATAATATCCGTAGTGTTACTTTCGACTTTTTTGCGAGCACGACTGCGGCGGCGGCGGTGACCGTGATGATGGCCATCGTATTGTACTTTCTATAGTTATTGATGTAGTTCCGCAAACGCGTGAACGGACATTTTTTTTTTTTTTCGGACAAACACGCCCACCGAAAGTGTGTTTCGCGAGAAATACATATTATTATGGGTACACCTATAGTAATATTTCTCTTTACGTTTGAAACGCTAAAATATATATTATATTCGCATTTTGCGGATTAAATCAATATCGGTTGATTTTTCAGAGAGAAAAAAACCGATTAAACGCGAGGAAAATAATTGTTTGTTTTCCTCCCGCACGTAAACTTTTGTTTGTATTGAGACTGTCCCGATGTGCAATCACACCCATATTTACTTTTAAGAATTAATGTCAGATTTTCAAAAAAAAAATGGTTCATTATTAATTATTGATTGAAATATTCGACTGACTGTATGGTCAAGTGAAACTTGGAGTTTAACTTCTGCGTGTATTTCAGAAATACTAATGTATTTTTGTCCAGGGTAACGACGAAATTTCGCTGCTCTCACATTATTATAAGTTGGGTATAAATTGGCGATTTTTTTTTTTTTTTGCCCGTAATCTAATTAGTGTATACCTACTGCGTTTGTTTTGGTTAGTTTTGTGTCCATTACTAATTTTTCGCGGAAATAATCCATATTATTATCATGTGTTTATTATATAGTTAATATAATTTTATGATTTATTAAGAATTAAGATTATAATTGTACAGTTTTATTCTTAGTCGTAAACAACGTAAACATTTATAATCATATAATCTGCATAGTTTGCGCATTTTATTTCATTTCCGCATGGCATTTCTAATTTGTTCACTACATTAAATAAAGCGAGCAACTCAAAAACTCAATACATAGATATCGGTATTTCGTCTATAAAAACAATTACACTATATCAAGTAAAGGTGACAGCATATAGGTGTGAACCGGATAGGAATTTTAACCATTAATGGTTGAAACATCGAATGTCACAGTGCCTTTTTGTATGAACTATTTTAAATTATTATAATACACGATTCGATAAAAAACATTACAAATTATAACGTTCCCAGCACATCCCCATTCCCGGGAACTCACCCAGAATTTCCGTGTTCGGGAACAGAATGACACTTGCCTTAGAATCGTTTTTTGCTCGCATGGTATCTTATATCGTTGCCAACTTCTCCCCATAAACAACGCGTAGCCTAGTACCGGGTCTTGGCTAAGTATTTCGGAGTCACTAAGTCCCTCTAGTATCCTTATTTGCACTTGTGAGTCTGCAATTAGTACATAATATTTTTAAATCTTGTTGCAGAATGAGACCTCAGTATGTCCCAGGATCGCTTGACCGCTCTTCGGCTGCTGTCGTACTATTGGTTGACAATCATCATGCCGCCCAACACTTTGGCTTTTAATGTGGTCTACAACAAGGAATCGTCGTCGTCGTCGTCATCGTCGTCTTCGTCACCATCATTTCAATCGTCCGCCTTCTACCAAAGTACGCATAACACACCAGCTGAAGTTCGGTAATCCACGGGTGGAATCTCACACCGTTACCTTGACTTCATAATTCCAAGACCAGATTTTAGATTCTGAGTGGAGCAAAGAAGCTTATGGTTTTACAAAGATTTTTTTTTTTTTTTTCTGTGGACAAATTTTCTACTAGAGAACTTGCTCCGATTTGTATGTGTTGCACCCTTTCTAAAAGAAAATTCATGTGAGGAGGTACTTTAGTGTGATCGTTTTTCGATTTTCTAAGGTGTTTTTACAATAAATGTGAAAAACCAAGAAAAAAAAATAGGGAAACCGGGAAAAACGTAGGAAAAATGGAAAAATCGGTACATTAAAAAAATATTATTAAAGACAATATATAACGACTATTTAATTATTTTACCATAATATGGCGTATATATTGTTGACATCATTATCAATTGAACTCCATTCAGGATCGTCTTTTCGTTAGCAACGGTTTATCGTCGCTAATAGATATACATTAAATTACCTATAACAGTGGCTGCACTCGTCTCCATTATCTTAGGACGCCTTTTTCATTTTATTTCGTATACCGGCATAAATTATGTAGCTTATATTGTACATAATAGTGTACACATTTGCTAGGTGTTATTGAATAGTGTTCAGCATTTTGAAGCGTAGCTGATGGCGGTGTAACAACTCTCCCGTGGCGATGAACAAAAAAATTAAAGTTTTATTTATTCTCTCTTTTTTTTTTTTTTTTTATTTTTATATAGTTATTATATTTATACTTATAAGTTATAACGATGTTATACGGGGCGAATACATGAATTTTGCTCGTTCTATTAATATTCACATAATTGAAAATACGAATAATTATTTTAGTTACGTTCCGCGCACTTACCATAAAAAAAAATGTGCAAACGCAACGATAGTATACGATCGCCACCAATTATACAAGTACTTGACCTAATCTAACAAGAATAACTTGGAATTAAATTTAAATCGGAATTTACCCGTTAACCTATTTTCTTCTTAACCCTATCCCCCAATGGCGTAACTAGGTCTCTCTTACGGGGGGAGGGGGAGGGGCGAAATATATTTTCACCCATTCTTATAATAGAAAATTCCTTAAAAATTTAAAATTTAAAATTTAAAAAATATAACAATGCACACATATTATCATATATAATTATACGGCCCACGGGGGGGGGCGAATGCCCACATCGTCTCCCTCACAGTTACAGCACTGCTCTCCCCCCCGTACATGTTTACTGCTCATATATGTAAACCGATCAGGTTAGGTTGGATGAGGTTTTTACTAATATAATAATTATAATGTCAATCGTTTTGTAGGCAGTAGGAAATTTGGCGGTTATCGGATCGTGCCTCGTGCGTGTAAAGACGCGACGGTAGACAGTTCGTTCAAAAGCGACGTGTCGGCCAGCAGTGGCGTAGATGTCGGCAGTGGCGTGTGCATGTTTAATTACGAATGCACTCAGTTGGGTGGCGCGGTGGTCGGCTCTTGCGTGGACGTTTTCTTGTTTGGCGCCTGCTGTAGGCTACCCGCGGGAGTCAAGGTTCCCACGGTCACGCAGAGTCCTAGCGTCGGTCCGACGACGGCCCATGCCTTGACGTCCGGCCACCATAATCACCGGCCCGACCCGCATTATAACGAAATGCCGTCGTTCCAACAGCCGGTGGCCGACACCATATTGTTGCACCGTAACGGGTCGGTCGTGCAGAACACGTATAGCCCGGATGACATGACCGCCGACCTACTGGCCAACCTGACAGCCACTGCTGCATTGATGCACGCCAACCATCGGCCGCCCATGGTAGACATGACCGACGTCGTGATGCAACAGTATACGACTTCGTCAGCGACGGACTACGGAAACCACCACCGTCGGCCGCCGCCGTTTGCCAACAACAAAATCACATCCAAAGTGGATTACGGCGACAGCGGCGGCGGCTGGTCGTCCACCGTCAAGCAAACGTCTTCGTCGTCGTCTCCGGTATCCAAGTCGACGGACTCGGTACCGAACATCCGGAAGACGACGCCGTCGGTCGCGGCCGTCCAGGCGACCACGACCAAACAGGGGAACGGTGCGCACCATAATAATCACCAGCACGAAGAAGATGACGACGACTACTACAACGATGGCATGGTGCTAATACCCACGTTGACGGTTAACGACCCAAACGTCAAAACGCCCGTCGAAAATAACTCCATACACCATATACTATCCATACTAAATCACACGCCGCCCACGTCTGCGTCTGGGGATAACGACCACGACGATGACCCGATGGATTCGTCATCGTCGTATTTGAACCAGCTGACGAGCAGTGCGGCGCCGCCGGCCCTGTACACGTGGGGCTCGATTGAGGGCGACTCCAAGTCTCCCGGTTACGGGTCTTCGTCATTCCCGGCCACCAGGCCGCAGTCACCCGTTCACCATTCGTCACCTTATTATCCGCAAACGCAACACTACGAAAGACCGGCCACGACAAACTACTACGGGTCGACCACTCCGGCAACGTCCACGCATCACCTGCCAGGACCACACTTTCACGTAATGTCTACCACCGCAAAACCAGCAACCGCAGACCCAGTCATCCCAACGGTCATAGTGCTCAGCCCAGCCAACGATATGAAAAACCCCAATAAATATTCGTCAGCGTCGACTACGACGCCCGCATCGTCGTACTTGCCTTCGTCACATAGGCCGCCGCCGTCGCACGTCAAACCGTCCCAGAGCATCATCGTCACGGGAAAACCATCGGTAAGCGCCGCGTACACGACCACGGCCTCTTACAATCAAAACCTACAACAGCAACAACAGCAGCAGCAACAACAACAACAACAACAACAACAACAACAACAACAACAACAACAGCAACACCAGAATTTGGCTTTTGTCCCGGTCAGCTCGACGACGTTGGCCGACCACTACTACAACGCTAATAACAATAATTACCATCACACGTCAACCAAGCCGTTGCAGCCGTCATCAACCAAACCATCGTCGTCGTCCGTCTACGGCCACCGGCCGCCGTCAACGACAACGACGGCGGTTCCCCCACCGACCCTCAGCAGTACTGTCTATCACGACAACAACAACGTGTTCACCACGGTTATCGCGTCGGTGAACCATCATAATGGCCAGTACCACAACAAGTACCAGCCGACGACGGTGGCGACCACCGCCCCCGCCTCCGCTGGTACTTACACGACGGCTAAACCGGTGTTGAGCCATCACGCGGACACTGCATCGGTGGCCCTATTGTCATCCACGCAATCCACGGGCAGTTACAACAGCAGGCCTCACGTGACCATCTCCACGACCACGACCGCGGCCGACGACGATTATCCGTCACCACCGGTCGTCACGCCGGCTTCGCAAGTGTTCAACACAGCGTCTGACGTCCACCATCATTACCACCTGCAACAGCATACGTCGTCGTATCCGGCCGGCGTAGCAAACGACGAGTCCGCCACCCCGTTCAATTCCACGGACACGTTCGCTTTTCCGCCGGTCCGCGACCCTTACGTCAATTTGACTGCTGCCGCCGCCACGCAACAGGAGAAACCTGACGTGACCGTCGTGGAGGCGGGAGATTACGACGTGGACACGGACGCCGACCCGCAGCTGGCGGCCGACGACAATTTGGATGACAAGGTGCATTTGTTTGTCGAGAAGGTCGTTCAATCACTGCAGGGCAATTTCGAGGACTTAGAGAGAGTCCTGTTGTCTGGAGACTCGTCGTCGTCATCCAACATAACGATCGGCATGGACGACCCGCAAGGTTATTATCCGCCCAACAAAAAGCCGATAACAACGTCCACCACAACTAAAAAACCTTTCAGGCCACTCAGGCCCACGAAACCGCCGCCAGTAAAGGTCACCACCAGCACATACAGGCCGACGCCGATCACGCTGCCGTTGGATGCCGCCCCGTATTTGGAACTGACCTCCACGACGCGTCCCACAAAGATACCGACATTGCTCACGCCCGTGCAATTGTTCCAGCCCACCAGCACGTACGCCGGGGCAGGCGCGGATAACAACAAGCGACCCACCAAACCACCCATCAAAGTTACTTCGACCACCACCATCGTGTTAGACACGTTAAACGTCGAACACGACCACACCACCGCCGAACCTGACTACAGGAAAGGTATGTATACAGTCGAATTTATCGTCCGGATCATTTTTAGATTAGTTTTTTTTTCCTCGGATGACATTTTCTCCAAAATTGCAAAAATACTCCGAAACTTCCAAACCGTAAAAATGTAGCAGGCGCGCAAACAGAAAACAATTTCATTGAGGGGGATTTATAAGTAAGAGTAAGATAAATTGTACATTTAGAATTGTACAACTAATATACTGGTATTATAATACTAGAAAAAAATAATTTTTAAACTTATTGCCGGGGGGAGGGGACGAACCCTTAACTTCCCCTGTATACTTATCTGATACCTAAAGGATGCGGATTTTCCGGATTGTGGTGCTCAATGTGAAATATTTTTCAAGAGACCCAACAATTTTTTGGATAAATATTAACAACTAATGACAATATTATAAATCAGTTTATAACAAATAATCAATAAAACACACATGATATGACATTTTAAATCTAGGCGGATTAGTTGAATAAAGACAAATATTCTAATAGTCACACTTTGTTTTTTGTTTATTTCTAAATTTTCACAGTCACAGAAAAACGACTTGACTAGTAGTTATATATAACCTGACTGATCCTAAATAGTTGGGGATGAAAGCGTAAGAAAATAAGATATCTAACCTACACCTATGACGTGTTTTTTTTTTGGTAATGATCTTCCTACCTATTAGTCAAACTTACCCATGGTGCGAAGTATGTCCGGTTTCTTTGTTTCTAATTACTTTTTCGAGCGCGTTTGAACATTTTTAAAGGGTGAATATTTTATTGGGCGTAAATAATTTACGGCCAAGTCGTTGTTTCTAGACGATTGTCACATATTGTAGACCTATGAACACGATGACGTGTACCTTATAACAATCGTCGTTGAGTATACGAACCGGACACGGAATTTCGTGTCACAAGTGATAGTATATCGGGTGTACACAAAGATTCGGCATGCCCACGTAGAAAACGATAATAAGGAGAGTGTGTAGTTTTTTTTATTTTGTCGGCCGCTCCTGCGATCCGTAGTATTATCAATATTATTATTGTGGTGTCCCATTTTTACCTGTTCGGTAATAATATAGTTTCTGATGGTGCATTAGATACCTACATAAAAAATAAAAATAAAAAAAACTGCACCCGTTCAGGATTTTAACGGCGGTTGTAGATTAATTTTTACGTTTCGACCGCCTTGGCAATAAGAGTTTTTACGACCAGTAAGGTGGGAACAGACTACTGTCACGTCACGTCATCTACTGCAGTGCTCTCACGTTGTTGCTTTATCATGTCACAGTATATTTTAGTCAATTATCTACCATGCACACAAGGCAGCTTACATATTATATTTTGTTAGATTACTGTTGAGTGTTGTGTTTGTTTGGAAAATGCAGGACAGTTCAATTATAGTTCGTCAAATAGAGAAGAGAAATTAAAAATTGTATTTGCTTTTGTATAGATCTCCACGAATAAAATTAGAAATTAACAGGAGCGCGCGGAGCATGGGTACACGAAATAAATAAAAACAATTAACAATATCGGGTCATAGACTATGTAGTTCAGGAATTAAGAAATATTAGTTCAGAATGACATTTAATGAAATTGATTTTTCATTTACCTATACATAACTGATGAATTCATAACTTCGATTCACTTCGAAAAGTGTATAAACTTTCAGAAATAAAAACAGTGTTGTCACATGTGAAGTGGTTGATGATGTGAGGTGATAAGTGTGACGCGGCTTCAGTATAGTTTTGATAAATTTATAGTGTTTTCCACGTGATAATACTCGTGTACACTCAGAACCATGTTAAGTCATTTATTACTCAAGAGCATCAAATTTTAAGCAACCCCTTTTAAATTACAGGAACGATAGGGGCGAATGCCTTTTCTGGATTTATGTTTATGTAGCTATTTATTATTTTAATATATCGATTTCATTATACAGGTATGATATTATAATGAAAAAAAAAAAGAAGTATAAAATTGTATTTTAACCTATCCTTTCAACGAAAATTACAAAAATTAAATTGTTTTAACGATCTCTAATAAAAACTTCACTAGTTATCGGAATACAATGGTTCGAAAATATTTTATTTATTTTAATAATGCAATCAACAAGAACGTAATTTTCAGTAGATAAGGATTAATTGAACATAGAAAAAAATTTGATATACTTAATCACATACGAATCCAATTATGTTATAAATCTAATAATTTTATTTTACATTTATTTATTTGATGTGTTTTACTTAATTATAAACATGAATATCAAAAAGAAAAGAAACATAATTATTATTATTTATGTATACTTTGGTTTTTTTAAAAAAAATTAAAAATCATACATTGGTGACCAAAATAGTGTAATAGCCGAAAACGGTTATTATAGAATGGTCGAAAAGTAACACTAGCCGAACAGAGAAAGGTTCATTTTGGCCGAAAACGGTTCCGCCCGTTCGATGCTCATGAACCAGATACTTTCTATAATAATAACATAAAAAACAAATTTGAAATTCGAGTGTGAGCCACCACACCTCATTTAAAATTCAGATGTTTGGATTTCTGTGTGCCGTAGATTTTATTTAACCTCAATATTTTCGTCGGTTTTCCAAATATCTTATTAAAAAGACGTCCTAAGATCATGAAGACGGGTGCAGACACTATTATAGATAATTTAATATATACTTGTAAGCAACTATAAACCATTTCTTACAAAAAAACGATTCTGAGCGGAGTTCAGTTGATAGTGTTGCTTTGTCAACAATATATATGTCATATTATAGTAAAATAATTAATTAAGCTCTATATATTTTCTTTAATAATATTTGATATATATAATAATAATATTTTTTTAATAATGTTGTACGATTTCCCCGGTTTTCCTACATTTTTCCCGGTTTTTTCATGTTTTTTCCCAGTTTTTCACATTTCCTGAGAAAACTCCGCAGAAAATCGAAAAACGATTTCTTTAAAGTACCTCCCCAGTGAAATTTTCTTCTAGAAAAATTACTATCATTAACAGTTGAGCAAAATTGCTGGCAGAAAAGTTGTTCACATTAATAATGTAATATTATACAAATACATTTCGTACATTTTCCCGTTTTTTTTTTTTTTTTGGTTTTTCGAATTTGATGAAATAACTCTTGAGAAAATCTAAAAATTACCTCTTTATGGTACCTCTTCACACCAATTTACTTTCAGAAAGAGTGCTACACGTGAATATCGGAGTAAGTTCTTTGTTGTCCACAGAAAAAAAAAATAAACATCTTTTTTAAAACCATAAGATTCTTTGCTCCATTCAGAATTTAAAATTACAAATAATTATTTCTCCCAAACATCCAGATAACCCACGAAGTAAAAAATTTCAAATTTTTTTCTCCCAAACATTTTTTTTTATAGAAATCTGATGTAAATAGGGTTTAAAAATCTCTCGCCATCTAAACAAAACTGAATTTTCCCAATGTTATTATTAAAACTAGGATGTTGATAAGCCAAAATGTACCGAAAATGACCAAAAAATGACAAACAAATATGAAATATTAAAATAAATAAATAATTCAAAATTTAACAAATTAGATTGTAGGTATTCAATTTACAAAAAATTTAAATAAAAAAAAATGTAAATTGCTTCGTTATCCCTTATCTGGCATGAATCCGATTTTTTTTTTAAGTAGGATAGGTGAGCGAATTCAGGCTATACATTTAATCAAAACAAAAAATTTAATACAAATTGTCAATATTATAATTACAGTTCCTATATTTCTATTATATAATATTAAAATTACAAAAAATTTCGTAAAAATATTTAAAAAAAAAAAAAAAAATAGTTACATTTATAACTAAAAATAACCAAAAATGCAAAATTAAATGTCCGAGTACATTGTATTTTTAATCTATGAAGCATGAAGCGAATTTTTAGCTATGGTAACATTGTATAAGAATAAAAGGATCATTTCATGTTTTCCTTAAAAAAATGTTTACACATTTTTCGCATTGTTGGAAAGTAAAGTTATTAAGTAATAGGTACTTCAACCTTCAACGTACATTTTAGTGACAACGACTAAAGCGTCATTTCCCCCCCTCCTTCACCCCCGGACTTTGAAGACTTAAACTAAAGGAGACGGGTAATTTTACCCATCCCACTTTGACCAGCGTTTATTGTAATAAATTGCGACGCGCACGTCACGCGTTTATACCCGTATAATACAATGTTACACAAAGAAGTTTTATAAGTCGAACGATAACCTTAAAATATACCGTCGGTGACGCGTACGGCTATTATACTTACAGATTATTATTATTATTATTATTATTGTCGTAACGTAACAGCGGAAAATATCACGTTTTGTGTTGCCAGACAATATTTTATTATCATTATTGTTAAATTTTTCAGAAATATATCGGCCGGAAAACGGTCCAAACACATAACACTCCACAAGTAGGTATCTAATACCTGTAATACCACATACGCATACATAGACGATCAACATAATAATATTACCTGTATAATATTATCGTTTGTTAATCGATTATTTGGCACCATATTACGAATATTTTTTCAGTAGTACGAGTATATAATATTACGGTCGGTAGAGTGACTGGTGGTTTTTTTTTTCTATCCATTTTCGCCTCCTTCGTCCGGAACGACGAATATTGTAATGTAATCCGCGCGCGCCCGACGTTATTGATATCCACCTGCAGCATAACCTGTCTATAAAGAGGTACCTACCTATCCCGAAATCGAATTGAGTTTCATACACAACCTACGAATTTGCAAACTCTTCGTAAAACGGAAACCACTGCCGCGTGCGCAAACGTATACGCTTGGAAATTTTGGTCTTCGGTGTATCACACGACTGCGCAGGCTGCAAGACTGCGCTATTACTTTCATTGTTATCAAAACGATTGGAACTTAAAACCGTTAAAAACCGTTCGAATGTGAGCACTTGAAAAAGTTATAAGACGCTTGTGGAATACACATTATGAGGGGGCGGGGGGGATATGGTGAATGTTATGCGTTATCAAAAGTTTATAAATGGATGTGTTACAAATTGTCAACATAAATTATAAAACGCTCTACCCATATCAAATCATAAATGTTAACACACCTTCCTGTTTATATTAATTAATAAAATTGATAATTGATAATTATTATCTATAAAATCGATGTAACAAATAGATGTTTAAAATTTAACTTCGGTACGTTCAAAAAATATTAATTGTTTAAATAGATTTTTTACTTATGTAACGTTAATTATTATTTATTTTAGCATCCTGCAGGTACCACAGATTTGTGTCGAAATTTAATTCAACATAATAATAAGATAACTATTACTTCTATACATATCATTATATGTATAAAAGTATAGTTTAAGTATAGTAGTACACATTATGTATTTCCAAAACAAAGTCTCGAGTCCTAACTATTACAAATTCTCTTCTTCTTCTTGAATAATCGGCTGCTAGGACCATCTCGTTATATAAACTTGTATCCAGTTTTTCTTACTTGATGCCAATTTTTTTCTGTCTAAACCTAACCTAAGGTTTCAACATCTTTCCTCGCTATATTCTTATTTTGTTCTTATCCTGATCAGTATAATCGATTTTTGGAAAAGTGTTTATTATCACCTAATTATTATTCCTTATTCTCCGCATAGCGTAATTTCCACGGGTCCAAAAATTGTTTGTATAATTTTTCTTAACAAAATAATGAAGAGTTTTCTTTTGTTACTTTTTCTTAATAGTAATGTCTCTACACCATAGGATTATTATAATTACACATAATTATATTATATTTACAGTATGTGGTGTGAGGCCGTTAGTGAGGAAAAACGGTCGAATTGTTGGTGGGACCGGTTCGACTTTCGGCGAATGGCCGTGGCAAGTATTGGTGAGGGAAGCCACTTGGTTGGGGCTGTTCACCAAAAACAAATGTGGGGGTGTATTGATCACTCAACGACACGTCATCACCGCCGCCCATTGTCAGCCCGGGTAAATATTTTCATCATATTATACACAAATTTAAAAATTACACTACTTGCCTGTCATCAAAAACTTATTATCGAATATTATTATTTATATCAATATGTTATATAATATATTTGTATTTATATTATTAATATAACATTATTCTGTAACGTTTGTATGATGAATCACGTTTTTCTTTTTAGTGTCAAGCCGATGTGACTTTTTACCGATATTATAAAACCAATAACCGATATCTACAGATATTTGAACCGTTAGTTGATATTGAAATTAACCATTAGATCAGCTGAAAAGGGTCGAAATTACGGTTGAAGTAATGGGAACGTTTTTTAGATTATGAGCGTAGCGAGGGAGCTAATAGTTTTACTAAGATGTTTATTTCTTTTTTTTCTTTCTTCTAGTTTCTGGACACGGTTTTTCCTAGTAAACTTGCTCAGATATTTACGCATAGAAACTTTTCTGAAAGCTCAAGTTGTCTAAACTGTCATTTTTTGATTTTCGACGCCATTTTTTAAATAAAAACACTTAAGTGAGAAAAATGTAGGAAAAAGTATGATTTCATGATTACAATATTTTATAAAATCACGTACGATGTTTTCTACCAGAAAATATGATTTAATCGATAAATCAAAAGACAACTTTTTTTGTTGCCTTTTTAATTTACTTTCTTATCATCGCCAAAATTTTGAGCCGTTTTTGAGCTTTTAAGGAATTTTAATTTTTGATAGTTTATTTGCTGTAATTCGGTCTTAAATACACGTACAGACTTGAAACTTGGTAATAATGCTTGTATTGGACTTAAGTAGACGTGGTCAAATTTTCAAAATCTCCGACGAAAATTTAAACGAAAATCGCAAAAAAAATGTCAGCACTTAAAATTATGTATTACCGCACTGTGCTCGGAATCGTTTTTCATCAGCAATGATTTATCGTTGCTTACAGACATAAATGAAATTACCTTATGTATTCTACCTTCTCAACTTCTCACCTACAACAGTGTCCGATTTTATCCCCAGAATCAGCTCTTTTGTTTTTTAAATTTCAACAAAATTATGTAGATGGGTTTTCTCCGACAATATCAGGTCAAATATAGATTTTTTAAAAAAAAGCCTTTCGATACATGAATTCCAATGATATTCCGCGATATTCTCAATAACGATTCATAAACAATATACGTGGTATATACTTCCCATACGATTACATAATAATAAAATCGAAAAGTGTAAAAACTTATTGAATTTGAGCTAAGATGATGTGGTGTCACTGGTAACTGTAGGTATGTACTGACACTGTTTTACAAACATAAACCTACGACATAGCAAATCTGCATTAAGCCCCCGCACTACCCCATGTGCTGTTAGTTTTAATATTAGAGTAAATAGATTTTCTATCAAACTTGAAGATAAGATTATATTAAGAACGTGGTCTATGAAACTGTGTTTTTTTTTTTTAATATTTAAATTTTTTTAAATTTTGATATTTCGCGTATTCATATATATCTCGCTAAAAAAATTGAAATATCGAAAAAACCGATGCCGCAGTTGACGGAGGTGATACTTTTCACATTACTGTCCCTTGTGAATATCATTTATTGGTAAAATATAAATTTAACACAGTTTAAAATACAATTTATTGGAGGTTCGCCATTTTTGGCTTCTCCAAATTTACTGTCCTATACGTTTGTATGATGCAGACAGCACTTGTGGATATCAGTGTACCATACTTCCGTTCAGTATAATAATGTAACAGTGTGATCAATATATTTTTTTTCTTCAATACAATCCTCATCACTACAGTATATCAGTAATTATACTTTGTTTTTGGGCCATAAAAAATTCGAAATATCAGCTTAATAACAGTAAAATTAATAATTAATAAACTAACAACTATTTTTCCAAAATATTTTTATAATTACTTAAATTATGTTAACACTTTCACCATAGATTGTATATTATAGACAAATTAAATTCCGTGGTCCTAAAATATAAAATTGCAAAAATGTTATTATTTTTTCACTAATTATTATTGACTGAAAAAAACTGTTCCGCATTCGTGATATTACGAAGTATCATAATCGTAAAGAAAATTGTTCAATTTACAGGTTGTGGGTTTATGAAAATGTATTGTTTCAAAGAGAGATTACGTAATTATACAAATCGCTAAATGGAGAAAGTTCAGTTTTAAAAATATTCAAAAAAGACAAAAATACTTAATATGGATGAAAAAAATTGACAAACAAATTTCACGTTATAACTAGTGGAATCGTATTAGATATTATATATACATTTCTAAAGGCAATGTTACGATATATTATAAAACTCTAGTAGCTCAAGGAGTATTTTATCTTTCTCGACAAATTTTAAAATTTGAACATGGGCACTTTTTGCATATATGTATTCATATAGAATGCTGGTAATTTTTCATCCTTCGTACAGGAAACTATTGTACCAGTAAAATTTCGTGTAATTTTCATCTTTGGATGAATATTCGAATGTTATTGGAATTATCAGTAAAGTTCGAGAATTTTCCATCAATTCGTTTGCGAGTGTATATTAATTTTATGAAAGTACGATAATTTGATTAGTGGGGAATTTTTTTTTTTAAATGTAACGTACACAACTATATTATTACGACTAACATACTTTTATACGTCGGATGTAATTATTTCCACTTTGCTTGTAAAAATTGCCATCAGCTCAACCGCTTTGAAAGCTAAATCGAACTGGGTCATTGCCGAGAGGCTCTTTGCGAAAAAAGGTCACGCATGACGCATGTTTTATAGTGACGATTGTCTTATCGTAATAAAATTATAAATATCGATCGTATATTCTCGTATAGCAGGTGGTTTTAAAGTGTTTTCCGACTCGTGGACTCTATAATATTATTAACCCTGACTATTCGAGCATATGAACTCGATCGGTTATTGGACGGATTTTTCTCCAATGATGAAATACAACTTTGTCGACATTGTCCATTTTCCTCTAAAAATGTCTACGGATCAAAATTATGTTTATTTTCCTCAAATAATTAAGACCAATTTAAACCTGGTTACACGCACTATATCACGATCGGATGTCGATCTTGTTTTATTATTAAACTCATGTTAATATGAAATGTATTAATAATGTATAATATTAATATTAAATGAATTCGTTGTGGTTTTTAATTATTTTGATTTTTATTGGCAATAAACATTGAACGAAAATTTAGTAAAAGATTAAGGATAAAACGAGTCCTTATTTATCAACGAATATATAGGCTGTCAGATGAAGAATTTCGTAAACATTTCCGTATATCCAAACATATTTTTGAACAAATTTTGCACGAATTAACACCTCATTTAACTGACATGCATAGTAGAGGCTATATTTATCTTGAAAAAGGTACCTATTTATTGTATTAAAGATACAATTATTGATATTTAAATGAATATTGAGATAGATGCCCAGTTTAGGCATCGAGTAACGTTGTTTGGAAGATTTGTTTCAGTTCTTAATCTATAAATGTGTCGAATTGTCAGCATTCTATTCAATTTAACTATCGGTTTTGATATTATTGGTAGTACATATAGGACAGAAACTGCATACAAGCTAATATATTATTATCTCGTAAAAATTACCTATTATTATAATATTTTGCCCGTGTATTTTATTCTCATAGTGTGATTTTTGTCTTCTGTGTACCTACAATAAATATTCATTTATTAATTCGGCAATTTGCTCGCGTTATTCTTTATATAGATTTCTGGCGAACTTGGTGGCCGTATTCGGCGAGTATGACATCAGCGGCGAGGTGGAATCCAAACGAAGCATCAGTAAAAACGTGAAACGCGTCATCGTGCACCGACAATACGACGCAGCCACGTTCGAAAACGACATAGCCCTGTTAGAGCTAGAGTCACCCGTCAGTTACGATCTGCATATTGTTCCCATATGTATGCCGGACGACGATGACGACTTTACCGGACGCATGGCCGTGGTCACCGGTTGGGGACGGTTAAAATACGGTGAGCATTAAGTAACTCATGAAACTTCGTTAAGTCGGCGATTTTTTTCTAATTTTTTCCAGAAAATAGTGACTACATAGCTTTATGTAATTATACAAGTAGGATAAGATATTTTAAATTTTATCTTGTACACGTCTTTTATTGTCTCCCTCTAGATCAAAGTTATCTCAAACTCATGCATTTGAGTTATTTTGTAGGCTGATTGAAGTGATAAAAGTCGAGTTGAATTTCAATAATATACATTTAATTATGGTTTTATTGGAGGATGATATTTAATTTTAGCTTTCAACACTTCTAAAGACCCCGTAAATGCATAAGTATTGCGAATGTTTTGCTCCTTTAAATAATCACCCCTCAATATTAGTTCACCTGATTCATGTTTTTAAAATTAATACGTATTTTAAAATCGTTTAATAAATAAATCGTTAAGTATATAATATTTTAACTAAATGATACTTGTACCATACGCCCAATATTTAAGGAACTGTGTATAGATAATTTAACAAACATTTAAAAGAATAAAATGAAGGACACATGGGAACCAGCGTGGCAGTATATTTTTACCCCAATAAATTTTATCCCCCCGCCCACGGTGAAAATATCATGAGATATACTTACCCCCGGTAAAAATATAATGATATATATTTAACTTCGGTAAACATATCATGTGATTAATTCCCCTCCCCCAAATAAATTTATATATATCCCATAGTATTTTTACGTACACGATTAAAAGCTATTTTTACTTCCCAGTAAAGATTTACTATTATTTATTATTAAATTTGCTGATAAAATACATGTATTTTCACCAATTTACAGTAAATTGCATACAAATTATAAAATATTGGTAACACATTAGTATGAAGACGAAGTCGAAATGTAAAAAAAAAAAAAACATTAAATTCCTATTTAATACCTATTGCGTACATAATGGTGTTTTTACTTATATAAATAATCAGTGCTATAGTCGTACTAGTAGCAGAAGTATTACTCTAAACATCGGTTTTTTTTTTGTATCTTAATAATGTGACACATGAAGCGGCTAATTGTATTATTTTACAGTTGTTATTATTTTTTTCTTTCAACAGGCGGAGGAGTACCCAGTGTTTTACAAGAAGTACAAGTTCCTATAATCGAAAACCAAGTGTGTCAGGACATGTTCGAGACAGCTGGTCACACAAAAACCATACTCAATAGTTTCTTGTGTGCCGGTTACGCCAATGGTCAGAGAGATTCTTGCGAGGTACTTGTACTTATGTTTGCTAGTATAAAAAAAAAGCTGATACTGCTGATGGGTGTGACCCTGTTAATAATTTAATTTATATCTGTAAGCAACGATAAACTATTGCTAACGAAAAACAATTCTAAGCGAAATTTGCTTATACATGATTTGCAAGGTCGTAATATTTATGATTTCATCCAAATTTGATGTTAAAATCATAATATAAAATAAATATATTACATTATAGTCTAATTAGGATAGGTTAGTTAATCTAGTTATTTTTTTTTTACCACTATGTAAAATTTATAATGAACATTCTGTTAAATTTTCAAGCATTTCTGTCTGATCAAATAATTTTATTTACATATTACCTACCAAATAAAAACTACGTAAAAACTAGCCAACATAAAATGCCTATAAATAGCTCAAAAATCCCCGAAATATTTTGAAAATTTGATGACGTCTGGAAAAGGCGAATATAAATTTTCTGTCATAATTTCAATTGAATAACAACAAAAATTAAATTTGGAAATAATGAAACCATTGTTATCGTAAACTCTTCTGTTCTTTCTTTGTTTTTTTTTCTGTTTGCTCAATTATTAAGATAAATATATGGAAAATCAAATAACAACTTACTTATTCACCAATTAGATCCAATATTTTTGAAGAAAGACTTTTTTTAAAACAAAATTTGTTTTTAGTAAGAAAGAAAAGTTTTTGGTGAAGGATTTCTATTAGGTTAAATTAAGTTAGATTTAGAAAAAAATCTTCTCATTTTTTGGGGATTAATTTTCATTGTTCATTTTTAACTAAGTACGTTATTAATAGATGCTTAATTGTATCTAAAAACCATACATTTATGAGTGTCTTACTCTTCCTCTCGTCTTAGCTTATATACTGTATGTTATATCTTGTTATAAACGTATTCCTTATTTTGTCCTATCTAGCTACCAGTATATAGTAGGTAAAATATAATTTACATACACCCACCCACCTATTCACTAAAAAATCAACGATTAACTGTTTTAAATATTATAATACATTAAAACATTAAAATATCTAAACATTTATTTTAAACTATACTGTGCACCCTTCAAAAGTCATGTAGAATTTACCCTAGTAAGTTCCTGATATCGGTGCCACTAAATGACTCCATTCCATTTAAATCAAATAAAAATACGGAGATGAAATATCAGTTTATCAGTAAAGATGCTATAATCACTTGTAGTTTTCATATACTTAAACGTACATTTTATGTGATATTATATGATGTCCCTGAACGGATCTTTACATTATCTACAAGCACTGCTCATCCATCTCATCGTTTTTTTTTTTTTTTTTTTTTTTTTTAATATGTCGACCATTTTAGTTAAATAATGCTTAATATATCGTTAATGCATTACTTTGAAAGTTCCTTTTAAAAAGAAATTAGATCACGTTCATATTCATATTGTTAAAATGAAACTAATTCCAGACTCGTTCCAAGATTAAAAAAAGTAATTCTGTCCTCTATTTTACTTGTTCTAAATAAAAGAAAATGTTCGTAATTAAAACTATAACCATTTATATGATACAGAAATATATTTTTTTTATTAAAATATTTTAATATATTAACAACTCTATAAACACCTAATCTGCATGATATCCTTCGCAAGGAACAATAGGACAAACTTATATAAATGTATTAAAAATAAAAAAATAAAACATTTTAAATTTATAAGATTATTAAAATTATTTAAATTAGTTAGTTATGTCTAAGAAAAAAATCCTGCAAATATTATAAAATAATTTATATTCCAATACGTTTCTTCATAGATCCATTTCCGATAAATTCCTGAAAAGTGAACGAAATCAAATTAACGCGTTCCTTTGAATCCGTTCCTTCCAAGCATTAATTGGCACAACAATAATGTATTGGATAACATTTTGAAAGCGTTTGCGGTCTTTTCGCAGGGCGACAGCGGCGGACCGTTGATGATCGAAAAGGACAACGGCCGTTGGACTCTGGTCGGAACCGTGTCGCACGGCATCAAGTGTGCCGCCCCGTATTTGCCCGGGGTGTACATGAGAACCACTTATTACAAACCATGGCTGCAGACCATCACCGGCGTACAATAATCGTCCACACGAATTTCAGCCTCTGCGTGTACGACGATAAAATTAACGAAATCAATTATTAATGCCGTCATTACCTAATCGAGTATTATAAATTGTAGTTTGTATAGCGGTCGTAATATTGTATGATTATTATGGATTATTATACACCTACCTAAAACTCGGTCCTATTGGTTAGAGCTTCTTCCCAACGAGGCGTGCAAACAAATAGAAAATAAAACGGCATCTCTCATCGTTTTTCGGCTCCAGAAATGCTTACTTATGTAGCGGTGAGATTTTCAAGCTCATTAAGCCTACGTGGCAAGATTTCGAACTATAAAAATAGAATCAATTTTTTTTTTATAACTCCTAAGTTTCCGATCCACGCGAATCGTGCAGATTTTCAATGCACCTGTACACTGGGTACATTATATTACCTACTATAATAATTAAAATATTAGGCATTTTTATATTATTTATATTTTTTTATTATTTTTCTATTATTATTGTTATAAATGAGCACGAATTATAATTATTATTTTTTAGCTATCCGTTAATTTATTTATATTTCCGCCCACCTATAAATGTGTCGAAAAAAGTGAAAAAAAAAAAAGACATAATCAGAATATTTTATTATACAATATTTCGCCATAATTTTTTATTTTTTTTTTTGTAAATTATTATTTATTTATTTATTTGTACGTGTATGAGTGTTTGACGAATGTAAAATATATTTATTTTTTTTTACTTTTATACAACCTTAAATGAAATAGAAAACTATTCGTTTGTATTTTTTTTTCATTCTACTATTAAATATTATTATTTATTATATGGTTTTTGTACATTACTCTTATTGATTATTTTTTACAATTTTTTTTTCTCTACTACCTATTATATTATTATTACAATATACCTACTATACAATATATTGTACGCGTTATTATTTTTTAAATATGTATTATTTGTTGTTAAAACACGTATAGTATTGTATTAATGTGTTACTATATATTATATATATACCTAAAATTGTATATAAAGGCGTAATACGTGTGTGTGTGTGTTTGTGTGTGTGTGTGTGTGTGTTTTCGTAATTTGTTAAATATTAACGAAATAATACATACTCAACGGTATTCTTCATATTATATTTTTATTGACGTATATAGTTTAATTTCTGTTTTTTTTCCTACACCACGACCGTTTAAATGTACTCGCGTAAGAATCAGTAATTTATTGTATATCACAATAAAACTATACAAAATTAATTATTGTTTTTTGTTTCGTATCGCACCAGTCGCGGCGAACAGGGGTGGATTGATTCGCTGGGAATTCGGGAGTTTTCTTAGTAGGCCACTTCATCAAATAACTACCAATTTTAAAATATTATTTTATCGTAAAAATTGATCAAACTAATTCAGCTGAAATATTTATTATTTTACTACTTGCGATTACTTTTAGTTGAAATAGCCAGGGATGTATTTAGATGTTTTGCGTCCCTGGTGAGAAAAAAAAACACGTCCCGCCAACCTAAATTTCTTCAGAAATATATTTGCGAATAATACTTGGAATCTAAAAGGCATATTATTAGGTGTATATATAGAAATACATTCATTGGTATACATTCTACATAAGTGAAGTAGGTGCATATATTATACATAATACAAAATGTATAAAAAGTATAAAATTGTAGGTTAAGTTAGAAATTGTTGCTTTCTATAAAATGTGTTAAAATTAAAAATAGTATAAATGATATCATCATAATCTAACTTGTTGGTTAAATCTGACTCTATGGTTAATGTAGTCAAACAATATATCCTCTCGTCTATAGTTCTTGAACATGATCTTGATCAACTTAAGCTTTCAGAAAAGGTGCTACATATAAAAATCGGAGCAAGTTTACTAGGAAAAATGTGTCCACAGACACTATTTTTACTAAGATGTTTATTTCTTTTTTTTCTTTCTTCTAGTTTCTGGACACGGTTTTTCCTAGTAAACTTGCTCAGATATTTACGCATAGAAACTTTTCTGAAAGCTCAAGTTGTCTAAACTGTCATTTTTTGATTTTCGACGCCATTTTTTAAATAAAAACACTTAAGTGAGAAAAATGTAGGAAAAAGTATGATTTCATGATTACAATATTTTATAAAATCACGTACGATGTTTTCTACCAGAAAATATGATTTAATCGATAAATCAAAAGACAACTTTTTTTTGTTGCCNTTGGTAATAATGCTTGTATTGGACTTAAGTAGACGTGGTCAAATTTTCAAAATCTCCGACGAAAATTTAAACGAAAATCGCAAAAAAAATGTCAGCACTTAAAATTATGTATTACCGCACTGTGCTCGGAATCGTTTTTCATCAGCAATGATTTATCGTTGCTTACAGACATAAATGAAATTACCTTATGTATTCTACCTTCTCAACTTCTCACCTACAACAGTGTCCGATTTTATCCCCAGAATCAGCTCTTTTGTTTTTTAAATTTCAACAAAATTATGTAGATGGGTTTTCTCCGACAATATCGGGTCAAATATAGATTAATAGATTATATAGATATAAAACATTACTGTAAAACCAATACATTCCTCGCTCCGATCAGAATCTAAAACTGTTCCTGCATTGTCACTGTTATAGGTGGGAATTAACAAAGGTAAAATATATAATAGAATAATTTTATGATAAGTAGTTTATGGTAAGTCTATGATTAGAGGTGTGTCTTCTGGTTGAACCTTATTGTTATTATCAGACAGAAAAAAAAACACAATGAATCTAAAAAAAAAAAACAGATATTATTTATGACTTAAATTAATGGTATAAATAACATCTGTTTTAACAAACTTAAATATTATTGTTTACCTTTTTCGGAATTATTTACACGATATCAGCTTCATACTTATGGTGGAGTTAGTCACCACCTATTGATATCTATTAAGAAGTTTTTTTTATAAGTATTTGATTTAATCTATCTACACTGTAAATAGATTAATAACTTAATAATCTTAAATTATTGTACAATCTACAGTTGTTGAACAAAAATTAAAATTAAAACATAAACACATTATAAGTTAACCAATACATAATTGGAACTTCAAAATTTTGGACAGAAAAAGTAATATTTATAATTTAAACTATATTTTTCCGATCTTTGGCGATCCTACGTGTTTTTGTAATAATTGACATCACCAGTAAATTAATTAATACAGATAAAAAGTTGCAACAACAATCATATATGTAGATTATCAAATTACAAAATTACACTATTTACCAATAAACTAAAAAATGATTGCAGGAATACTGGCCATAGATGTTGACTCTACCCTACGGTGAAGATTGATCTTCAAAATATTGATTTATAATATTATTGTATTCACTATTTCATTTGAAAACGAGAACATCGTTCCGATAAAGACAAACAAGTCTAATATTATAACAACTTAAAAAAATCCATAACTTTAATGATTATTTGCAACTTTAACGTATTGTGTTAGTTCCAAAATCTATATAAATCTAAAAGAAATATATCTATCGAAAAAAAAAAAAAAATTATAACAATATTTTTATTACATGTAATAATATTATTTATATACACATCTACTTAGAATGAAAGGGTTCTAAATTTATACTATTCTCTTATGATTTAACTTATAATATTCTCCATAAGCCTGAAAAATAATAACAATAAAATCCTTTCTAATGATACTATTTTATTCATCAATATTGTGTTTTACATGGATAGATATATTTTTATTTTTTATTTTATTTAAATATAAATGAGAAATAAGTTATCGCCAATAACTTATCGGTGATAAATAATTGAATCATCTAAACAAATCTTTTTACCATAATTTATATATTTATTGTTTTGAAATATATATATAAGATAACATATTAAATTTATATACTGATAATATATTTTAATAAATTATTATGATTCACCAATCACATAGACTTTTGAAGTATAGATCTGTACTCACATCTGGCACATTTTTACAAATTTTAGCATTTAGTTTTATGATTTTTATAACAGCTATAATGAACAAGATTATTTCTTTCTAGCTATATACAATTTGCTGTTATAAACATTACAAACCTGCTCAATTAATAAATTCAAAACTCGAAACTAGATAAAATATAATTACATAAATAATACAATTTAGATAAAGAATAATATTAAATATAAATGAATGTTATGTAAAAACATGTTAAATATTATATAAAATGTGCAACTCATGGAATTGGCTAGACTAATGAAGAATTTTGCATTGATTAATAATTTAATTGTTGACGATAAGACAATCTCGCAAAATCATTAATATTAATGAAACGGTTTTATCAATTTCCTACATACCTCATCTAAATCGTTGTTTATACTTAAGAGGACGTGTTATCTTTCGTACTTTAAAGATTGCAATTTCTCAACAAATTTAAAAAAAAAATATATTATATCAACTTAAAAATATTCAAATATATTTACATGTAGCTCCATGTTATTATCATATATTTTTACTGTGTTATTACGAAATTAACAAAAAATGTTTACGGAGAAACCGTTTTACGCGGGCAAAAATTATTTGGGTTATAGGCTTAATGAAATCAATTTGAACTTTAATAAAAAAAAGAGAACCTGTGTTTTGGTGAAACGTTGGTTTGAGTTTTTTGACAAAAATACTATAATATAGTTATTCAAATTTGAAAAACTTAAAATTATCAGATTTTTGTAGTATTAATTTTTTTCTTTTGGTAGTGAAACACAAATCCAACTTTGCTCAATGCAAATTCTTTTTTTATGATGTGAATTTGATTTCTTAACAATTTGAGTTCATAATCTGAGTATTTTCTTACTAACCTAGACGGTTTTTGTAGTCAAATTGCGGGTTGTTTTTTGTGAACCATTTTTGATTCAACTTAAATGCGTTTTCCTAAATAATATTATTAAAAAACCTCCATTGAAACCCTTTCATTCTAAACGCGAAAATCCTATTTTATTGGTGTTTTGTACATTATTATTACAAGCACACGATAACAAAGAAACGAACTGCAGGTTTAAATGTAAATCATGTGAAAATACAAAAATCATTTGGTACGCCTCAGACGTCTTGTAGACAAAAAGAAATGACCAATTACGTATACGACTTGTCCATTTCTTTATTTTCCGTGTTGTGGATTCGGGACGGCCCCAGCGTGAATAAAATAATATGATGGGTAAAATAAAAACAACATTGGCAGCGATGATAATACGCCAAGTATGTCAAACGTAAGGTTTTCTGTACTTGAACGTGTTTCTAAACCGATTGCTGGCTTCGTACGAATACAACCTGTTGACGGACCCGACGGCGGCCCTGTTTACGGTTTGCGGTATGTCCGTGACATCGACCACCCGGAAACCGGGTAAATCCACGTGGTGACTAGCAATCAACGAGGCGGTCTTGTTGTTTGTTTCAGGGGCACGGCTGCTGGCAGGCTCCGGTGACGGCGGTGGTGTTTCCGAAGACGTCCTGAATATCGCCAGAAACTGATCGACCAGCGACTGTTCGTGCTTGATGGCCGTTATCGTGCCATTTCCCACGGCTTCGTCAATCCGACGCGGAGGCAGCGGACTCGGACTGGAAAGGCCCGGGAATACCGTGACGGACGTAGTCGGCGGGCCTGAGTGATGAATGTAAGTCACCGGCCAGGTTTGTGGCATTCCGTCCGCTGAAGGATAATACTTGTCGCTACACGGGCGCCACTGTTCGGACGAATGACCCACGTAACACCTGTATGTCAAACACATGGTAGAATACTATGTGAGCATCGTTGCAAACCACGAAATTAATTTTTATTTTATCATGGACGCTAGCCAAAATAGAAATAATTATTTTTTACGATTGCAGGTAGAGGAACTTAAGTTCCAATTTTATAATAATATATTATACTATGTTAATACATTATTTTATCTAAGAAATTTCGTCAAACTTGATTTACTAGTTTTACATCTCACCATGGATAACTGATTCCTTCAGAGTAACCGCATTTATGTTCTGGCTTGCAACAGTAATCCCAGCCACCTTGTTCGACTGGACAGGACCATATACCCATGTCCGCGTTTTTGGTACAATATGAACCGGATCTGCATGGCTGTCCATTGACGGTAAACCTCAACCATGTCCATTCTAATCCAGTTACTGGAACTACGCATCATATTCAGAATATTTAATAAACACAAAATCTCGAAAAACTAATGTAGCAGTAAACATATAAAAATAAGCATAATTGATCCTTATTACCGTTATTGGTTGGAGGGACTTTGGCAACAGGAGTCAATCCGAAACAGTGAACTTGATTAAAATCCCACGTGAAAAGAAGAAATTGTTGATCCATACTGAAATCCTGATTGGGTTTTAAATCTCTCATTTCGATGTCACTCAACTCGCAATAACCAGCACTATAAAAGAGCGGAAACACATAAAAACACTTAATTTTGTATTATTTAACGAACCCACACACACACCAGTCTGGCTTTTCGGTGTGAGATAAATAATATTAAGACCAAGAAAATCTGTACCTACAAGTAGCTGAGTGAGGAACATCGGAAGTATTGACTGTCTCTGGCCTTGTTGCACTCCATTTTACACTGGTCCTCTGACTCAACGTTCATTGACTTTTTAATAGCCGATGGCAATAATCTAGCAGTACTGCCAAAATTTATATAGCACACTGAAAATATTGAAAAACGAAAACTTAAGGACGAATCACGGGAAATAAGAATAAAAGTCGTCTTACACTTTTTTGGCGGTCCGTATGGCCCATAGAGAATTGGTCCTCGAGTAGGATTTTGACCATATGGGTTAAACGAGTCTTTGAACACACCAGGGTCCGGATTCCGATTCGACGGTTTGACACCGGCGGGAGTGTACTCTCCTTGAATCGGATAAAACGTAGTAGGTGGTAAAGATGGCACATAAGTACCCGTACGTCTGGTAGAAGTAACAAAAGTGGTCGGCGTGACGGGAAAATACTGGGTTGGTGGTGATGGCGTTGGCGTAATGGGCCTGACTGGAAAGTACTGAGACGACGGTGGCGACGGTGACGGAGACGGTGGCGGGATCGGTGATCCGGACGGTATGACAGGAAAGAACTGCAATGGTGGCGATGGTGGTGGACCATACTTTGGACCATATCCCGATGGAGTTGGTGATAGTGGAGGTGGCACACCATACTGAGGTCGGTAAGTGGTGTGCACGGTAGGCGTCAGGTCCTGGCCAGGTCCTGTTGGCCATGGCCCGGTGGGGAAGTGGGTTTTGTCCAGTTCGCATCCGCGACCGTAGCTACCACGGTTGAAGATATCGCATTCGGTGTCCTGGACAAAGTGCTTGTTCGGGTCCATTTCGAGTATCGGGTAATCGGTCAGATAACAGTTGTCCGACCATTTTCCGATGACGGCCGCCCCTCGGCTAGACCGGCACGAGACAGACACGGATTACATAGGTACCATATCGGCTGGCCAGTCAGTTATATAATATAAAATGTGACAGACAAGACACAAAATAGTGCGGTGCTGACCAATGGCGTGCGTAGGGAGATGGGAGGTTACCAGTTATATCCCCCCTCTAATTTAATTAAAAATACAAAAACCATGAGTATATTTTAATCGGAATTTTAAATTCGCATAGTTCGGGATAAGTATAACAGAAAAAAATTTTATGTTTTATCCTTGAATCATAATTATAATTTGACTACATCATCTCCCATTGAAAATTCCTGGGCACGCCACTGGCGCTAATATTATTAGTTGTTGCATCATTTCGACATGGTGATTTCGACGCACGTCAAATGGACGCGAGGCAATTGGGCGCATGGCACATTTTGAAGCATTTTTTTTTTTTTGTTTAATTATTATTACTGATTTATTTTTCAAAATAAATATATATAAAATAAAACAAATTATTATTAAATATAAAATATACAATCTTTAAAAATATCTGAAATAGTATTACATATATACATTTGTTGTGATAAATAAATCAATAATCATAATTAAACAAAAAAAAAAAAGCGTCGAAATGTAGTTGCGCCAAAATGTGCTATGCGATCAATTGTCTCGCATCAAAATAACCGCGTCCATTTGACGTGTGTCGAAATTACATAGATTCTATTATTGAGTACGTACCGAAAACTGAACACTCTGCACGTGAAATGTTTTACGTGGAGGCATATGAGTTCGCACTCGTGCAGATTTTCTGTTTGCACCGAAAACTTTACTATGGCCACTTCGAACGTCAAACCGCTACGGATACGTTCGAAACAATCTAAAATGCATGTGATTTTTTTTCTGGAGTTTTTACTTATATTAGAAAATAATTTTAGCTTTGTGTAATATGTGTAGTATGCAAAATTAATGATATGCAAGACAAAGAATAATTTTAACTCAGTCAAGAGTTAATGAACGAATTAACACCAAGTTAAAAATTAAAAGTTAATTTGAACACATAGTTAACTTGTTCACTTAGGTTATGTTAATTTAATTTATATGAAAAATTGTTTATGCTATATTGAAAAGCATTGAACCTAGATATAGTTTTTTTTTTTTTTAGAAATAAAGACGATCAATGTTCAATTCTGTGGCTTTCAAATTGCACTTATTTTAAGATCGAAACTTCATACAAATTATTAAGTGAGAAAAATTTTAAAAAAATATTGTTTTTAAGATGATAATTGTGTATGGTAATGTGTTGAAATTAACTTGATGTGATATAAACTAAAATTAACTAGTTTTATTAATGAAAACAATTTTTTTTAGTCAAAGGCAGGGGCGGATAGGCCCACCGGGCTACTTATATTACCAAAAATAGGCTAATGAAAAATACTACTATTAGCTTTTGTACATAAACACGAATATTCAAAGTTAATAAAAAAAATACAATAATACTGTGTTTTTAATTTAAATCTAGTTTAAATCATAATAAATTATCATTGTATGACTACTAAAATTACCATCACAAGTGTTTATCTTGGAATTTGAATATTATTTTTGAGTTTGACTCACAGCTGCTGTCATAAACCATTAAACTTAAATAAAAGTACCTACATCGTACTTTGTAATTGAACACAAAAATTACAGTGAAATTTTATTTAATTAGTCACTAAATTCTGTTTTCGACTTTCCGTTGTCATTTAGCATCTACGCGCAACTTTTTCCAAAAAAGCTTAATCGAATTTCTAACAGTAACACCTTTTCTAAAAGGAAATTTCACTAGGCGGGTACTTTAAAGAAGCCATGTTTCAATTTTCTCAGGAGTTTTCTCATCAAATTTGAAAAACCGAAAAAAAAAGAGCTGATATTAGGGATGGCTGCAGCCACTGTTTTAGGTGGGAAGTTGAGAAGGTAGGATACATAAGGTAATTTAATTTATGTCTGTAAGCAACAATAAACCATTGCTGATGAAAGACGATTCCGAGCGCAGTTCGATAATACATAATTTAAAGTTCCGTAATTTTTTTTTACAATTTTCGTTTAAATTTAGTTTCAAAACGCTTATTAAAAAAAAAAAAATTAACGAAAAAGGTCTCTTGTCGTTTTTCAATTGGAGCCATATTTGTGCTAAAAAACGTGGTAGGTACATATTTAAAATAACAAAATCGTGAAAAAATCGTATTTTTTTTCCGGTTTATTGTTTTTAATTTAAATACCGTTTTGAAAATCAAAATCATTTTTCGATTTTTTCAGGAGTTTTCTCATCAAATTTGAAAAACCGAAAAAAACAGGGAAAATCGATACAACATTAACAAATATTATTTAAAAAAATGTATAAAGCCTATTTAATTATTTTACGAAAAAATTATATACCTATATATTGTTGACAAAGAATCACTATCAACTAAACTCCACTCAGAATCATTTTTTCGTAAGCATTGGTTTATCGTTGCTTACAGATATGCATTAAATTAACTATGACATTAGCTGCACCTGATCCCATTATCTTAGGACTTTTTTTTCATATTATTTATTATACCTATTTAAATGTATTTATTATTATTTATTATATATAATTGTGATTGAATAATATTCACAAATGTACATAAATTTTACATTCACATACATTTCCACCACCCCATTTTTAAAATATGACATTCTTCTTGGCCTAATCTTTAGTATCCCATTAGTATAATAGTATTGGATAGCAGAATAAAAGTACCTTACCTAATCGGTTTAATATTTAGATAGACATATTTGTTTACATTTTTTGTAATTAATAAAATAAAATGCAATTATTTTTTAAATATTTGCAATTACTTGAAAATAGACCATGAAAGAAGGGATAAGTATAAGTGTGGGTACCAGGGAGGACTCCCCTGTGAGATTTTCCATCAAAATATTTTTTAGAAAAATATGTTAGATACACATTTTTTTAAAAATATTTAACCTTAAGTTACTCTTAATTTCATATATTAATGCAAAAAAAGGAGTGGCCTTTGGAGAATTTTGCCCCCCCCCCGAATACTCAACCAATCCTTCTAAAATAAAGTCCTCATCAATTAAATACTAAATATAAATAATCAATATTAGGTATTAGAACTTTTTTATTGAAATTGAAATAGTGTAATATTAAATTTATATTTTTTCTTAACAAAAAAAAAAGAGTTGGGTGTTGATGCACTCAAAGTTAAGGTAATTATTTTGTTGATTCTTAGATATGATCATGTGGGCTGCTGGTTTCTATTTTTTCCGGGTCGTTCAGATCATGCATATCCGCCCCTGATCAAAGGTTAGGTTAGGTTAGATTAATAATACTAACTTAAATATAGGTACCTATTAACTTGACTTTTAACTTACTAATTCGTTAATACCTAATCTTGACAACATTATTCACCAACGAATATTTCTTTTTATCGAAAAACGGAAAATTATAAGTAGCTAATACATTTAATATTAATTATCAAGTATATATGTTTATAAATTATAATGCACACGAACAACTATAATACATTGTGAAATCGAAAATCAAACTGGGTATAAAATAATGGTAATAAAATAATACAACCCGATTTTAGTGACTATAAAATATTATGCTTTACACTATACTATATTATATTATAATGAATCTCACCAGTATCCCAATTTCTCGCCGGCTGACATCCTGGCTGACTGAGTTCGTTTCGTACGAACACGTCGCAATCTCTGTCCGGCACTAAATCTTGAAAAATATCCAATTGCCGGAGCATTTTATCACTCAAGTGGCAATTGTCCATTAAAGATGTAAAACTATACCTATATCAGATTTAAACTGTTCATCAATACGTTTTTACCAGTGGATTATAAATGGAGATCAATATATATATCTATCTATCTATGATATATATATATATATATATATATATATATTATATANNNNATATAAAGAGATATATATGTTTATATATATATATATATATATATATATATATCAACATATATATCTCATTATATCTGAAAGAATTAACTTATCGAATTTTATTTTTGGAAAATTTAAGAAATTAGGTGTAAACGGTTTTATTTCCCTTATTTTTTGTCACCCTTATGTTTGGAGATGAAGCCATTATATTAAATTTAAAATTCCATAAATAAATGAAGTTTTAGTCAAAATACATTTATGGTAAACATTTTTAATGAACGGCAAGCCGTTAAAGGATATTCCACTATGAAGTTTGCCGTTTTCTTTCTTAAACAATTATCCCAACAAATATCAAAAAAGTTATCACTTTTTGATACCCAGATTATGTTACGTTACATTGTCACCATCTACAGGTGCTTACCTGTAACTGAACATATTGCACATGAACGTCTGTTCGTTGGCACATATGTTCTCACAGCCATAGAGAGACGGAGCGTTGACCGATTTTATAATATTGTCTCTTTGCAAATGATGTCCCGTTCTTGCTTTGATAAAACATTCTGAAAATGGTACCAGCAGAACTTACAATAATATTTTTCTACAATACATGAATTTCTGCATTTTTTTCTTTTGGAAAATGTACATTCAAGAGTAGTTAAAGTAGGAAAAACTGTGTAGTGACTATAATATCTGTCAAAATTTTAGGGACGTTTATGAGTACTAACTACACCTACCCAAATTCACACACAACCCGTGGTAGAGGTGAAGGAGTAAATTTAAAATTCGAATTATTTATATGACCAACCAAGACTTCCTTATTATAAAGGTATAAATAAAACTACATTAAAAAAAGAACATCTATAAGCAGTAAAGTGTTGTCACTAGATTTGAATATTTCACTCCCCAAAAAATGGTAGAAGGGTAATGGTTGAAAGTTGAAAACTCCAAAAGACACATCCTTGATATTTACGCCATTTATATATAACATTTCAGTAATACAACCCAGTGCGTCAATAATGTAAATACATCTTTGCATCATAAATTTATAATATAATATCATGTTTTATAAGTCTTCTCGAACAATTAATCGCAACTGCAAATTAAGTTAATCGCCAAAAAAACTGAATGCTTTGTAAAGACTTTCCTCCAGTTTATACTAATATATTAAAACTATAATAATACAATAATAATTTATTATTACGAATAAAATTAAATAATTTATACATTTAATGATTTTCTAATACTTTATGAAATGTGTTTTATTAATATAACTTGTGTAAAAGTCAAATAGTTTATCAAGTTTTTTTTGTAATAATTAAATGGATAAATAAGCTAAACAACATCCTAGGATAATGGGGACCGGTGCAGCCACTGTTATAGATAATTTAATGTACACCTGTAAGGAACATTAAACCATTGCTTACGAAAAAACGATTCTGGCGGAGTTTAGTTGATAGCGATGCTTTGACAACAATTTATAGGTGTGTGCCATTTTTTATTAAAAAAAATTAAATAGGATTTATATATTTTCTTTAATAATATTTGTTTAATGTTGTACTGATTTTCCCAGTTTTCCTACATTTTTTCCGGTTTCCCTATGTTTTTTTTCGGCTTTTCAAATTTGATAAAAATCTCCTGATAAAATTTAAAAATAACCTCGTTAAAGTACCTCCTCACACTTATTTCCTTTCAGAAAATTTGCTTCACGTAAAAATTCGAATAAGTCTTCTGGTGAAAAAGTTGCGCACAGATAAAAAAGAAAAAATCATCTTTATAAAACTATAAGCTTCTTCGCTCCGCTCAGAACTTAAAATCAATAAATAATTTAATTTTATATGAAAATAAATAAATACGCGATGACTATGTAAATATAGATACAATAGATTTTTTAAAACGATTGCCTATAACTTTCAACTTCAACGTTAAAAAATGTTTGTATTTTATTTTATTTATATTTATATATATTTTATACTCTATGTATTATACCTATTATAATATATATATAAATATATATAAATTTTTAATAATTTAATGAACAAATAAACTAAAAATCAATACATTTTTTATTTTATTAAATTTATTATTATTATTTTATTTAATAATTGTGTAGTATAAACCAGAGAAGTCTATATAAACTATAATACCTAAACATATTTTTTTTTTTTTTTTGGCGATCAAATTAATTGTTCCCGATCAGTTTATCGGATGCCAACTATAAGATATTTGTAGTTTATGATTTAGTCGACTATTTCAGATAAATACAATCTATTCTATGTTGGTCTTTAAATGCGTTTTCGGAAAACTGGTTTTCCAGTAAGTGTCTCGTCTGAAAATGACATTATGGCCGCCCATGCTTTAAAGACTCAAAGTAATGTGAAGTGATTATCTTACTTTAAGAAATAGCACTCCGTTTCCATCTAACCTCTCCCCCTTTCCCAATTTTACCACTGCATACTAACCATTTGACGTTGCGGGCATCCGATTTTCCACGGATAATATCGGGTTTATACCGTTATATCCGAACTGAACGTTGTTGTACGGGTTATCGTTGTCCGGAATAAAGGTCATAGGCACTTCACCACGATTATATCCTGACCCTGCCGCTGGTGTAGAATGAATGCTAAGGTCGTAGTATACTTTGTCGTTGCCGTACCCGACGTCATTCTTTTGAAACAACGAAGGATTTAAATCTTGCCACAGCGACAGGTCCGGTTCGTTACCGGAAATGTCCCATTGACGCCTTTGCCCATAAGGGTCGGTAAATTCCAAATAGCGGCATATGGGTGAAGCGTTCACGTTTTTTTCATAAAAGTCATAGTCTACATCCGAGTGAAAATCCGTAGACAGGTCTAATTTTTCCGGCGGTATAGAAGTCAATTGACAACTACTATAAGAATCCGATTTCATATCATATCTGGAATATAAAATTGAGTACAAAAATATAAATTATAAAATCAATTATTATACGAGTGTCGTATCCTAACTATTATCAACTAATATATTAATTATAGCTACTATACTGTATTATTATGAATTCGACAAAATCTGTCGATATTGGTGATTACCAAATGGACTGAGGATATTTTGGTTACACGATATTATATGCAATATGTATGTATAATATATAATATATATAATATACATATATATATATTATACATATATAATATATATGTATAATAAGAATTATGGGACACCTAACATCATATTGTACAGCAGAAGCAGGAGGATAGAGTGGTTCAACCACGTATGGAAATTAAAAGAAAAAATAATCGAATGAGTAATCGAAGGAAGAATTGTGGGTAATAAACCTCTTGGGAGCGACCGGGCAAGATGGAAGGACACTGTGAAAAATAATTTAGAAATAATTAATGAAAATGTGTAAATAGAGGATACGTATAAAAAGAACCGTTGGGAGGATATAGGAGTTGCGGCAGTGAGACTACATGGCCTGCTAAGCTATTGGGAAGAAGGAGAAATACATAATGATAATTATACGATGGCACAGTCACAGTGAACCAAATTATATCTATGTAACTTAAATATTTTCGAAAATAATTACTAACAAAATTTGATTGAATATTAGCGTTAAAACAACACCAACCTGAAATTGAATCCTGCGCATCGAAATTCCTTTTCGTATTCACAAAATATTTCACATTCTCCTTTTGATTCGGCCGGCATAGTTCGTTGAATAAATTTATCGGCTAAACGTCTTCCTCCCACAAGCTTATTGAAACACGCTAAATGAATAGGTATTCAAAAAACATTACTTGTGTGGGTTTTATATCATTTCAGTAATTTAAGCACACTTAATTAAAACCTACAGTATTGGATTGAATTTCACAAAATAATAATATTTTTTTATAATCGTATACGAATTAGATATAATGAATCGATAATTAATATTACCTATCAATTATCATTTGCATGCAATAAAATATAAACAATTGATACAATTACGATGCAAATCATTTGGTTTTTTGTCTAAGGTCTACACCTATAACACTAGTAGTACTATAACATTATTGGCTTTAAAATCAGTAAAAATATATTATGTATTATTGTTCTAATGTTTAAAAATAGTCATACAATAATATCGTGAGTCAAAATATAATTATACAAATAATTCAACATTTTATGTAAATAATATTTTATTTAAAAATTAGGGTGCGGATTATTTGAATGGGACAATTTATTTCGCTATAACTAGGGTTTGGATGTTTATGCACTTATAATAACTATATAATATGTATGCATTTATGCACTAAAAAACTACCAAATATGCAATCAAAATATACACTAAAAATCATAAAATATGAATTTTTAGTTCAAAATCACCAAAATATGCGCAACAAAATTGTACCTTGAGTATTTAATTTTTATTAAATTGTAGTTTTTTTATGTATTATTTTTTTAATAGATATTACACATTAATTTACAATAAAATCATTAGAGTGATATAATGTTTTTTTTTTTTTTTTTAATTTGTTCAAATTGTATGCTTTTTTGATTTTTATTTCGTTATTAATTAAAATTTTTTTTTAAATAGTTCAAAATGTACTTAAATATGCATTTATATTCTTAAAATTCTAAAATATGCATTTAACATATAAAACCATAAAATATGCAAAATATGCAAAATAAAAATAGTATTATTTTTATTCAGTCAAACATGAGTCCAATTTATATCCAAGTCAGAATTGATTTGGTTAAACAGAAAAAATATGAAATTTTATAAACATCTGAACCCTAGCTATAATCATTTCAATGTATTACGCATTAAAAGTTTTAAATAACTGAATAATTCAGTTACTGTTAGTGTAATTCAGTCTGAATTTAGCTACTTGTCGATTTTTTGCAAAACCATGGTTAAAATTATAGACAGACATCCAACATTTACAATTGATTGAATTTTAAATAACGTTTTAATATCGGGATTTTAGAATAATTTTAAAATTATATTGTTGCATTAAATTCTATAATTAATCATTCATTTTTGATAAATTGATTGTACATTGTTTCCACTCTACCTTTAGATTTAAACAATTATAGTAAATTTAATTTATTATTCATAATAATAACTCACAAGTTCTATCTCTACATTGTAAGATTTTCATAAAAAGATCGTATTCTGGATCGTCGTACGGTCCCGACTTCGGTAGATCCGAACCAAGTAGACAAGTACCATTTCCATTTCCGCTTAACCTAAAAAAAAATGCCACGAATATAATATTTAAATGTTGCTAAAAACGTTTTAAATAATTATACCTAATCAGTTTTTTATCAATCCATTATTATTAGTTAATTATTATAGTTAAGTAAATTATACAAATCAAAAATGTATTTAAATTTTAATACATACGAATATTTTAAAAATTTAAATCGACTTTTACTTACATAACAATATGACCCAATTTGAAAACTTAAAAAAAATATCGATATATTATTATAATATTATAAAATATTATTTGAGAAAAATTAAATGTACTCAAAACCGAATATACTACTGAATATTATATCATCGTTAAAATGTCCATCACAATTTTAGTACTTACCCAAAACTATACGCATTACACAGTATTCGTTCACATTCGTTATTGCATTGTTTTACATTGTGGGCAGGAATGGTTTTTGTCACGTCCGAATTGTTCAGACGTTTTCCAATGGAAACTCTTTCAAAACATTCTGTTAACACAAAAAAATCTATCAATCAACAATGATCAGGATCCGGGTAACTCGTTTGTATTTTATTATTTTTTTTTTTTTTGGCTCGACCAAAAATCTAAGAAATAGCCATGCTAATACGATTTTAAATTTGAAACTACTAATTTCGATGTGTTTTTCATTTTAGTTTTCCTGTCTTATTTTTTTTTTTCTGCAAATACGTAAAAACTACATACATATTTTCCATTGGATAATTATATTATATAGCTGTATCTAAAATTGTCAAGGTAACACACGAGTGGGAACATTACCTAGATGTATATTCATTTTAAAAATAATTCCGTCATGGTTTTCCCTCTTATAACTTTCTTCTTTACACCTTATTTGACATTGGATCAAGCGTATACGACTACGTGCGTCAATCGTAATTAAACTAAACTGCATGATACAAAATACTGTTACTGTTTATTTGGAATTTTTAATTTATTATGTGGAGTTTATAGAGCCGTAGGAGATAACTGATTTTTTTTATTTTATTATTTTTTTTTGTTTATTATAAATAATTAAATATAAATTTGTTATATAAGGAAAGGAAAGTATAGGTTTTAGTTTCTATTATAAAATTAATGTTTGCTATTATTATGATACTGCATTTGTTACATACTGCAGAAGATAGTAAAATCAACGGCCACAAGAACTCGGAACAGGCCCAACGGGCTAAAGACATATTTGTTTTTGTTTTTAGTAGTTTTACCTATCCTAACTGATTCGGTAATCAAAGTTTGTAGTGTTCAATGTTCATTCCGCTGGGAGTGTTCATTATTCATACGTACTTACACAAAAAATAAGACAATTTTGTCTTCTTAATTCGAGATTACTACACTATTTTATTAGTAATTAATAATTAAATAATAATCCAAACGTTTGTGATAATGTAGAATGTTGAAAAGTTTTAAATAGGTAGGTATACATAATATTTTACTTTTCTTTGGCATTTTTTTAGTTCCTATGATGGTCGATAACCACGGGAGTAACGAGTACTTATTATATTACTTTTTTTTTCAAGTCTTAAAATGTTATTGTGTAATCATGATTGGTTAGATTTTGTAATATAAAAGTCGATGGCTTTGTAATATACCAGTTTTCGCAATATACGCCACAATTTTATTGTATATATTCGCTTGCTCGTGTTTATTGCCCACAATGAGTAAAATAAATTTAATCTGTTATTCTACGGCTAATGGCTGATTTATACAAGCAGAGGTTTTCAGTCGTATTGTGGTCCGGTTGCGTACCACAAGACACCTATATACAGTGTGATCACGATTTAAGGTAACACTAAATATCTCTGGTGGATGACCTTGTATTGTAATAGGGTTTTCGGGTGGTGATAGGGAGTTCCTAAATACATATTTTCAGATAAATTTCAAATTTGTAACACTTTTGGTATGCGTATGCGCAATACAACTTACATTTTTTTAAACAGAAATACTATTTTTTTTCTGCATATTCGGATAAATTATTTTTTTTAAAAAAAATTTTGTATTCAAAGTTTTTTTCTATTTATAAAACTAACCAAGTTAGAGTAAGTCAAAATTTGGATTTCTGTATAATTCGTGTTTAATGAAATTTTCATTTATTTCATTAGTTCATTAGCTCATTTAGTTCATTGGTTAAGAAATTAAGATATCGTCTGCCATTAAGCGTACTATCGTTAAAGAACGGTCCTATTAGATTTCCACCAACTAACCAACACCATACATTAATTCCCCAAACCGTTTGAAAATTAGTTTCACGTGACCAGTGTGGGTATGTGTCATCCCAGCATCGATGATTTTGTTTATTCATAATGCCATTGTTAGTGAATTTTGATTCATCACNGACAAAATCGATTTTATATGGGTGCATTTTGTGTTTTTTTAGAATTTTTTGAACATAACCATATGAAACTCCAATTTCGCGAGCAACATGACTAATTGACGAACATGGATGAGCTCTTATGTATGCTAGTACCTGTAATTCTGTATCGTCATCAAACATATTTGCTCTACGCATTTGTTGAACTATTTGTCTTCCTCTTTTAACCCTTGTAAAAGTCGTAAAACATAATTATAAGGCGGATGGTACCTTTCTGGGTATCGTCCGGCATACGTCATAGCAGCTAGGCGTACATTACGTTGACATTCGCCATAAATTAAAACCGATTCAACTTTTTCAGTGTTATTCATATTTAAAAAATTATAATTTATAGGAGCACTTAATAACCAGACATCCACGGATAACGCACACACTTTAGAACGGGCCTAGTTACAGAATAAAAATAAAATTATAATTTTCATCAAACTAAATGCCTTATTATCTGGTTATCTTATCGTTATTAGAGCTATTGCAAAATAAAATAAAATTTCACTACAAAAATAGTTAAAAATGTAATCGTATTATTGCAGTTTACGGAACAAAAATTATCACATAATCGAGATATTCATTCTTGTGACAAACAGTATTTTTTAATTATTATTTGTAAACAGATAAAGTAAATTGAACATTTATTTCACAATTATTTTAGTATTTCCAGTGGTTATAAATGAAAATTTCATTAAACACGAATTATACAGAAATCCAAATTTTGACTTACTCTAATTTGGTCAGTTTTATAAACAGAAAAAAACTTTGAATACAAAAATTCCATTAAATTCCTGTTTGCACTATACTGTAGTTTCAGCACTAGACATTGGAAAAATCAAAAATTCTTATTTTCGAAAAATGTCACCAAATCTAATGGTTTTACAGTAAAAACATTTTTCAAAGTGAAAACTGAACTAGGCAAAATACAATACTATTAAACGTTATTTGTGATCTATTTGAATTTCATTATTTTAACTGTTAATATTTTATACAAACGAGTGTAACCTATTACCAAATCCAATGTAAGTGTGAAGGATATAACTATTTTAATGTGTATATAATATGTATAGTATATTTTCAGTCCTGTCGATCGATTTTCCCTGTCGATTAAATGGTTGTCGATTGATTATTCATCTCCCGTTTTCAGTATAGTAACATGGCAGGTTAAACTTTAAATATTTTTAGTGCGTTTCGTGTACACTATATATACGAGGGCTAATCAAAAAATATCGAGACTGATAATATTACTCGGAAACCATGCGTTGAAGAGCAAAACGATTTGTAAACCTAGCTTCTATGACTTATACTGAGTACATCCATTCGTATAAAATCTCTATAAACTTCTTCGTTTTGATTTGACAATATTTTTCTAAAATTTGTTTTTCACGTTTGGCGATTTAGTAATGAATCCAAAAGAAGCGGAACTCGCTGTCACTCGAGGGCACATTTTCAGTTTTTCAATTGACATTTAATGGCAAAAACCATGAAATGTTACATCCCTCTGAAACTGGAAAAAAATGCAGAAAAATTTTTTAAAATCTCCAAATCTGTCAAGTTACTCTTCTTTTGGGTTTATTACAAAATCGCCAAACTCGAAAAATATATTTTACAAAAATGTCAGTGAAATCAAACCGAAGAATTTTATAGATAAGCAATAAAAACAAATGTACTCAGAAAAAGTCATAGAAGCAAGTGATACCAATCCTACTGCTCTTCGATGCTCCTTTTCCGAATGATACTACCAGTCTTGGTACTTTTTGATTAGCCCTCGTATATAACATATATCATGTAAAACAAAACTGCAAAACTGCAAAACCTACCTCTATATATTTCTTACATTCTCCTTCTACTCCTTCACCCTCATCCCAATTATTCTAGGTCGACCATCCTTGTCACAAACTCCCACTTGAACCGATCTCCCACTTCATCCTTATCGTCTGCCTTCATATCATTCTAAATCGTATCCAACCCAATATTTTTCATCATCTTCATCTTCTTATCTTTCCTCCTACTTTTATTATTATAACCATTCTTACTGCTTCCGACTTCTTTTTCCTCATGGCATGCCAAAACTATTTTAGTCTAATATTTTCTCTCTTGTTTTCCACTATCGAAACCACACCTATTCTACTTGTATGTACTCGTTCCTTATTTTATATTCTTTCGTCATCTCTCCACTCAACCACCTTAATATTCTAATCTCCGCTATACTCATTTTCTGTTCTACTTTTTTATCGACCATCTAATACATCGAACCGTGTAATATAATTGGTCTCACCACATTCTAGTAGAACTTACCTTTTAAGACTCAGTTGAATTGTCCTGTTACATAAAAACTCTGTTAGTTTAAGTTAGGCACTCGGTCTAATTACACTAAATCCTATGTTTCACATCCTCTTCAAAACTATTTTTTTTACATCGTTATAAAAATACCTACCAATGTTCTTTACGAGACTTGATATATGACAACAATATAATATTGTGCATTAGTCAAGGTATAGTTTGTTATCTAAAGTATAAGTATCCACAAGGTCCTATAGTCAAGGTTATGTAAATTTATGTGTACATTCATCTAATTTAGGCATTGCTTTAATATATATCACCACGTGTAAATTAATACATATTTACATGGGTATAGGTATTTATATAAGCAAAAATCGAGATTTTAATAAAAATGACGTTTGACGAAATAGTACAGGAAGAGCGATGATAAACAATGACAAAATTAAAGCGTAAAATCACTTACCTGTTAGCTATTATTATTTGCAATCGATTTTTAATATTAATTTGTTTTCTATCGAGAGAACAGCAAATTTTTAAGCATGGTATTAATTCGATTTTTATTTTTAATAAATGATAATAATTTAATATAAAATAGACATTATACATAATATGTTTTTTTAAATTCTATTTTTTTTTCTTGTGTACTTATAATACTCGTAAATAATAAAAAGTTAGTACTGCTCACGAGTAGAGCAGTGTTGTTCATGTATATAATAGATACCTGATTTAGTTAATATATACTGTGGTCAATGAAAAATCATTTCAAACTAAAAACAATTCTGAACAGAGTAGTACTAGTCTTGTGATTTTCCTAGTTACCAAGGAATTCGAGGTATTCAACAAAAATAAAAAAACAAAAGAAAAAGAACCAAAGGGCTGAAATGTTAAGGATTTCGATAAATATTTTAAATAAAGTACCAAAAATCACATATACTTTAAGATACTACGTAAACAAGTGCAAGTATTTAAAAAAAACATAAAAAGCATTTTTTTTTTTGGAAAATATTGATGAGTATTTGAAAAATATTGCAAATAAAATATCATCAGACGAAAACTCCGCTTCTTTTAATGTATATGACAAACAAATCTAAGCAGTTTTACTAAATTATTTTTTGGATAAAAAAAGCACATCATAGTAAAACTGTAACAGATTCTTTGTTACATTCAGAAAATTTCGATTGTGTTTACACCCTCTTTCAATATCATCAATATTATGGCATGATTATTATAATGATTTCAAAAAAATTTTGAATTAGTTAATAATACAATAATATTACTAATATTTTATATTTTAGTTGGACGCCATTTTCGCCATTATAATATTGTGAAATAGCTATACAAATAGGAAGGAATTATAGAACAATAATATTAGACTTTCGAAAACCCAAACCCATACATCCGGCAAAATTCACAGAGGCCATTTCATTACTGTTATATCTTCGTGAAAGGTTAACAAAACCGTCAAAACCGTTGGTCATATTTTGATATAAGTACGATACTTTAAAACAATTTCTGTGGGACCTTTTAAACGTGTGTTGTGAGATAATAATTAGGTATTATAAGTAATAACCATTTAATTCGAGTAATCTATGGGTAACCTATACGTCATCACGATGGTTGGGAAATTATTTGTTTACAATTATGCATGGCAATAATATTATAAATATATTGTAGGTGTTTAGAAGGTATAGGTTCCGGAGTTTATTTTTTTTTATATAATATAGCACGTAAATGACGCGATTATAAATCGGTTGCCAAAATTCGGCCTTCGGAGTGTATATATAACTAAATTAGGTACGTGCCTACACATCCATTGGTACGCAACGAATGTGTTGCATTTTATCATTTTAACATTATTTTTTTATGACTCAATCGATTTTTATTTTCGGGTAAAGAAAAACGGATGGAAATATTATTGATTCGTTAATAATGTTTCAATGTCTTCGGAATGGCATAAAACGATAATGGTAATATAATATTATATTATATTACTTGTTGAAAACTAATGTTTTAATTAATATTAGGAAATTATTAGTTGTAAGTAGGTATTATTTTTCACGTTTAAGGTGGATTCAATAGACAACAGTTTTACTAAACATATCTAAAACTGTAATATAATTATAATTAATTAATAATGAAAAAGAAAAAAACAATTAAGGAAACTAAATGATATAAAATATGTAATAATAATTTTAATTTCTAATTAACTATCAGGAAACCAAATCATTTCAAAAAGAATGATAGCAGTTCATCGGAACAGTGGAAAACAAGTAAATTATTGCAAATTATTTTTTTTTGTGTTTTCTGTAATCTAGGCAGTGGCATACTTTCAATATTTGTTACGGGGAGGAGGGGGTTATTCTTTATTAACAAAGTATTTTTTAGAAAAAATTACCACTTATAAAAAATCCAAACAAAATATAAAAATGGTGTGATGGATGATTTTTAGGTTCTGGGAGTAAGGGGTTTAAATCTGCTTTCCCCGTAAAAATGATAATAGTTCTAGATAATCTAAAAATTATTATACAACTTAATACGTTTGAATGTGATTTTTTTTTCAAATTTTAGTAATTTCCAAAAAAAAGAATAGAATAATATTAATTAATTTCTGTGCATATAAATGCATTTCTAGTTTATTATCGAGTAGTGACGCCCTTTAGAAGGAGGGGAGAGGACTTGGGCATTTGTAACATTTAGTCTGAAATCAGTATTTTGGTCGATCCCTGACTTTTGGGAATGAGAAAAAAATGTAAAAATATCGAAAAATATTTTATACCTGATTGTTTGCGTGTCTATCATTAATGAGGAAACTATGGTGAAATATTCGATATCCCTATTTTCCGATCAATTTTCAAAACTTTTATTGACAATTTTTAATTTAAACACTACCAAAATAATTTCTGGTTTCTTTTTATGAAAATCTGAAACGCTCACATTCATTAAACGAATGACATAGATATTAAAGCGAATTAAAATATGATAACTCCCCTTCCTCGTCAGTAAGAAAATATGATTAGTGTTTGGTATAAGTGTTTATCCCAATCTACCAAATATTGAAATGATACCACTTTTATACAAATCATTGTTGTCCATTGAAATCCATTTAATCTTTTTTTCCCCCCGTATTTAGCGCCTTAATATTTAAATATTTTTAAATGCACATTATAGTTTTTATTACTGCTGAATTTGTTCCCTATATATAACGAACACTTATGATATTACAATTTGTTATAATTATGTCTTTATTATACTGACCGTCGACGCCCAACTTGAGGTAGGAACCGGCGTGTGCAACAGCGAACGCGTGCAACAAGAGCGACAAGACGGCGGCCGCGGCGGCGGCGCCGGACGACCGCATGTCGCGGACGTTCGAATCGCGTGAAAAGAGACCAGCCCGTCGGAGGCTACGGCGGAAGAGATCCGAACGATACGACTGCACCACACCGTGTCAGTTAATAATGTTCGCTCGCGGCCGTGGTTAAATATTGATAATCGCGGAGTAGATAACTGTGCTCGTGACAGACGTCCGTCGGATATTGTCGCGAATTATTATACTAAAAGACAACAATAATATTATCTTCTAGCCAAATTATTACCACGACGAAAAACCGTCCGTAAAATAGCTGCCAATCGCTTATTCCGTCGCCATTGTACAACTACTACTACTAATACTAAACTGCTATCTGCAGTTACCACTATTACAGTATACTATATCGCTAAACGGTGGCGTAATAATAGCGGCGGGGAGAGAGGATTCGGGTGTCTTATCTCCCTCCCGGAGACAATTATTATTATTATTATTTTTTTTTTTTTTTTGCACCTGATCGATAATATTATAATTTGAAACGTAAAACTTCTTATAATTTACAATTGAAATAATCGCAGTGGCACACAGTGGTCGTGAGTTTCGGCTTTTAACTGGACAAGAATATGTTTGTGCGGAAATAAAACTGAGCAGTTTTTAGCGCATACAAATGAAAAGCTTCCAAATTAACTTTAAAACCACAGGATAAAAGTTGTAAAATTCATGTAGATATAAGGGTTTTATTTACTCCGGAAATTTTAGCCGATTTGTTTGGATAGTTTTTAGGTGGGTATTTTAAAAAAAAAAACGTAACCGATGGGATCCAAGAGTGAGGTTGATCTAAAGGGTAAGGGACATTATTTATTTTTTTTTAAGTCTACACTTTTATACATAGTTTCCCATTTTATATGCCAATATACTTACCATAGCCAAAACTATAATATTATAATAATATAATATAATGATATACACAATTCCGATTATTCCTGGGGTTTAATTTAAGGGGTGTAAAATTCGTCTCTCATAAAAAAAAAAAAAACAAGACGAAAATATATATATTTTGTTTTCGAGAACAATTTTTCTCTCAGATAATTTTTTTAATATCTTATACCTACCATTTGTTTTATAAATTTTCCAAAAAATGTATAAAAACACCATAATGAACACTGACTATAGTGCTATTTAGTACATATTATACTTACTAAATAAATTAGGTATTAATTATGTATGTTATTAAAACAAATCTCTGGAAAATACAGGAAATATATTGTAACTTGTATTAGTAATTACTTCTGGAAATCTTTTTAGATTCTATACAGTTTGAAGATTGTATATTGATAATGTGCGATTTTTGTCTGTCTTAAAACAATTTTTCTACCAGAAATCTTGGTCTATTCATCAATTTTAGAGGTGATTTCTAGTATAAAATGTTGTCTAGTTAGTATATTAAGGAGGTGGTCTATTTTTTATTTTTATTTAGTTTTCCTAATAAATAATTTTTGGGAAAAGCTAGAATTGTAAGAAATGTAGGAAAACCAAGAAAGTTTATGGAAATAACGGCTTTATTATTTTCGATTTTGTTTTTGAGTTGTAATTCGGTTAAGAATAATCGTAGACACCAGAAATTTTCACAAAATAATTATATAAACTTTTTCTAGGTGTTCAAATAATTTGTATAATGTTTGTGGTATTTATGAGATTATCGAATTTATTAGATTTGTTTGGTTTTTTGTGAATACAATTGTTTTAAGCGAACAAAAATACTTGATAATTTGACGTTATAATTTTTACATAGGTTATTATATATATTATTAGGCATAAGTGTTTAAAGTTCAAAGATTGATGAAAATAGTAATAATAATAATATAAAAAAAATAGTAATAATCACATGGCATTTGAAAACATGAATAATCAAATTTTTCTTAAAATCTTATTTCTTTAGCAATGATTTATCGTCGTGTACCAATATAAATTACATACTTCTCTAACTATCATACTTTTTATTTTTTTTTGTTGTTATTCAGTTAAAAATATTCGTTCAATGAAAATTAACATTAATAGATAAAACTTGTAATTTTGTATTTGTTTGTAAAGCCCATCCCCTAAAAAAACTTGGCTACTTTATGGCCTGACCCCTCCTTCCATAAATATACCATTGCATATGTATCCATTCAAATTTTTGTACAAGTGACGAGTGCCTACCTTTACTTACATTTCGTGAAATTGTCAATTTTGAACTTTATATAAAACTGCATAATATAATATACTTGCACTGGTACCTAAATTCTCCTGACACCACTAATTTCGAATTCCCCCCCCCAAAAAAAAACCGTTAACTAGACCTTGTACTTTATAGGTACTAAAAGTTTTAGAATTTGTATAACCTGAAATTTCTGCGAAAAAACGATAGTTCCAATATAGTGGTGTTTAAAACGTTCCTTGGCATCACTAATCTATCTAAATGAACTTTTTTGCAATATTTTTTACCAATAATTGTACCTTACTACCTTAATTCGAAACAACTGGTAAATTACGGAAAATTCCAAAGACAATAGTTCCAGGGACTCCTACCTATTATTTTCGATTTTCAAAACCTACCAAAATCTCATCTATGCTACTATTATCGACATTCTGTGCCGTATAATACCTATGGTTAATATCATACATTATTTATTATAATATTCAATAATAGGTGCACTATTAATACGTGAATACTATGTATGATCTTACCTACCGATAAAATACTATACTGCATAATATTATTATTATTCGGTGTGTTTAGCGCGGCTGAGAAACCACCCGACCATTTATAATTCGGCATATCACAACGCGTTGCTCGGGCCGTGAAATCGCACACACGCTCGCACCGTTGACTTGGACGAAAAAAAAATATAAAACGTAAAACGTATTTTGAACGGATGAAGACAGTTCGGCGACAAAACCTCGTCATGTGGGATTAATTTTTAAAAATAACTTTTCGTTACATAAAAACGAGAACGCGATGTTTTTCTGATTTACGCTCTGTAATACCACTAATAATATTCGCTTAAATTAACTATGAGTAATATTCATAATTGTTTTATTGTTATACCCGCATGTTTTATCGTTATCTGGTGATGTACCTATAATCAAAAATGGAAAAGATAGCTACTTTAAAATGTGTATTTATGTACGAGGTACTAGATACATTGGTTAAGATATACTATAGCTAAATTAAAAATTAGCATAATTTTAAATTTAGACATTTTTAATTTTAATTTTCTGAATCGTTTTTCGTTAGCAATGGTTTAACGTTGGCTACAGGTATAAATTAAATAACTGTGGATCTTACCTCCCGAACTATTCACTAGTCATCAACAACAGTGACTGGGAGCTTTATTTTTTTACATTTTTCTTAGGTTTTTTTTTTTTATGCTATATAAACTGGTACACAGCTCCAATAATAATTGTATTTGTATTGAAGTGGTTGTTATTATCGCTTAAATAATATTCTCTCTAATAATAGTAATAATAAAAAATTTCAATTATACAAATAATAGATTATATTCTTAGCGTTTACGTGAAAGAACGACAAGGTTAATAATAATATAATGTAATATTGCCTATTGTCTTTTGTAACATATTACGAGCCAATATTGTATTGTATACTTTAGTGATCAAATTTTTTTTTTGTTTTATTATTATATTCTTAACATTATTTCAATTCAATAATTTTTTTTTTCAAAATGTATCGACAACGTAGGCTTTATAACGGTTCGTGTCACCTGTTGACTGAATACTATTATGCAGTAATGTAGTATTATAACATTACCTATATTATTAAACCTGTGGCCCGTATTGCTATAATACGTTCAAAACTGATATAATTAAAGTTTTAATTTCATATAAATTATTGCTACTATTTAACGTACGTTCAACCAGCCCCTCTCCCAATTTGGAAATTTGGTTTCATTCTAATATATTTTTTAGTGTGTAACTACTATAACTATTATGTATTTGTATGGTATTTTTTGATTGCAGTAAATCAACTTTTATATGAGAGCGGCTGAAGACACGTCTCGCAAGCCGGCCTATATGTTAATATACACAGAATTGAACATTTAACAACGGTAATAAATAATAATTAGTATATGCAATTTGGTCCTAGGTTTTCAATGTGTAAACAAGTCCCGTTCGCAAGAGAGGAGGGAGATTGGTGGTTAACCCCCCCATTGCTAAGAAAATATAAATCGTGTTTTTCATTTTTGATCGATTATATTGAATATTTTATAATTATATTTGTAAAAAATAATAATGTACAACATAATAGCACACCACTATTATTGTGTTATCTTCGTGTTTGCTGTTTGTCGGCTTTCGTCATATTCGAATTGACAAAATATAAAGACCGCAACCGCGACGTCGCGTATTTTAAAAGTTGTTCATGATCATATTGTGTGAAGGGGAGTTCTCAATTCACCGGGTCGTTTCGTTTAATGTAAAATGCCTTTTATTATTAGTTTATGTTATCTTGATAAATACATTTTGGTCATATCTACCAAGATACCGCGCAGAATTGAATAAATTCAATTTTTGGACGTACTGGTTATAGCTGGTAACGTCATTTTCTTGTTTTCATTTTAATAATAAATTAAATTAGTATTAAAATTTTAATTTTTTAATAATTTAATTTAAAATTAAAATTCAATGTAAATTAATATTCAATTTTCATTACTAGTTTAAATTCAATATGAACTTTGTCAAGGTAAATAATAACTTATGTAATCATAAAATGTACATTTCTTTAGGGACAGATATGCACTTTATGCAAAATGTTTATGTGCAATCAAAAAGGAACGTGTTGTGTTCAAAACATACGAAACGAAACGGACACGGCGAGTTGAGGATTCCCTTGAGACGTTAGTTAAACAAACACGCCGTTAGCAATAACATCAAAATGGACATATGAAAGTCTTTGAAAAAACTACGACTAGAAAATGATAAGTAAGTATATTAAAATGAATTATAACTATTACAATTATTTAATTAATCTAATTAGTTTTTACATTTTATTT